CACTGAGCCACCCAGGCGCCCCAGATAATTCAGTTTCTTTATTGTACATGTTTTGCTACTTATTTGCGGTTAATTACAGTGAAAAGTGGAGCCAACAGGAAAATGACACATACCATTTCAACTCACTACGCATTTGCCAGAGCTAATGGTATGTTCCCACCCAGCTCTAAGGGGGCCGGGAAATACAATTCTGTTACCCATCTGGAAAGGAAGAAAACCAGAAATATTGGGTGACCATCACTGAAGACTATCATAATACCCTTTGTGGCCTACCCAACAGCCGTTCTCCATCCTTTATTACTTGCTAAGAGAACCCCAGTCCTGTCTACTCTCTTCTGGATGATATCTGCTTTAGGAAAGACGGGACCTTTCATGGCAATCCCATTCCTTCCTTTTTGGGACTAGGGCATTAACCATGTTCTGGGTAAGAGATGTAAGGATGTCTATTTCTGGAACTTCTGGGAAGGTTTTTTTCTCTCCCTTAAAAGAGGACATCAGACAATGAGCACTTATCTTTCATGCCTTGGTGGCAAGTTATGATGTGATTACTTTAGAGCTGCAACCAAGAGGGGGAGTGATGGACACTAAAGATGACAGAATGGCAAGCTGGACAGATGCTGGATGATTGAAGGCATTGGTGTGCCATATTGAAATGATTGGTCCTGGAACCACCCTACCGGTAGACTTCTTGTTAGAAGGCAAGAAATGTCCTTCCTTTGGCCTTTTTTGGGCTTGAGTTTTCTGTCAGGTGAAGCGAGAAGCATCTAAATATACCAGACAGCTGAGTCATGAGTTGGGAATTGTGGTAAGGGCTTCATTTGCGTAAAAGTAATGTAATCTCATTTCATTCCCATAAGAACACTGTGCCCTAGGTGTTATCATATCCTTTTTGTGGGTAGAGAGATTAAATCATTGCATGAGGCCACACAACTCTAAGTGGTAAAAAGAAGGACGAAAGCTTTTGGTCTAGTCTATGCAAAGGATAACTTGACATCATTTGTGAATACTCTATACCTTCCCTACTTTCATTTTTCTCTGAAGCATATGTAAAAAGTAGAATTGCAGTGTTTCACCCTAAGAACTCAGAAATTTCCAGGGGTATGGGAAAATACCAGAGAATGTAGAGCTGATTAACCTTATGATTTATTGTTATCTAACTTTAGGCAAGTATTCTCTTTTTTTAAAAGATTTTATTCATTTATTAGAGAGATAGCGAGAGAGAGAGAGAGCATGAGTTGGGGGGGGGTAGTTGCGGGGAGAGGGAGAAGCAGGCTCACCACTGAGCAGGGAGCCTAATGTGTGGCTCAATCCCTGGACCCCGAGATCACCACCCAAGCTACGGCAGACGTCCCATGGACTGAGCCACCCAGGTGCCCCAAGTATTCTTTTTTTTTTTTAATTTGGATGAATGTGTTCTATATTCTTACTAGGCATCAGCAATACAAGCATTTAGTTATTCATTCTAAAGGAAAGGAAATGAATGACAGGGTACCTGGTGGCTCAGTCAGTAGCTGCAATTCTTGATCTTGGGATTGGGAGTTCAAGCCCCATGTTGGGTGTAGAGATTACTGAGAAAAATAAATAGACCTTAAAAAAAAAAAAAAAGAAAGAAAGGAAAGAGTGAAAAAAGGAACACAGCATGAAGTCAATGCTTGATACTTACATATTATGTCATAGTCACAACCATCCTATGAGTATTTTTTTTAAAGATTTTATTTATTAGGGAGAGAGAGTGAGAGAGCACAAGCAGGGTGAGAGGCAGAGAGAGAGGGAGAAGCAGACTCTCTTCTGAGCAGGGAGCCTGACGTGAGACTCCATACCAGGACCCTGGGATCATGACCTGAGCCAAAGGCAGATGCTTAACCTTCTGAGCAACCCAGGCATCCCCATCCTAAGAGTATTAAATATACCTATTTACAGAGGGGAAATCTGAAGGTTAGAGTAATTGGTCAAGCCAATAATTGGTGGAACTCTGATGTTATGGGATAAGATTGAAAACAGTTATGTGCCTGACCCCTTATAAAATGTTTTCTCACTACATACTTGGTATGCTCAGATATTATCTACTATCTGTGGTTTGTCTCGGAATGAAGCTGGGCTTCATCATAGCCTGGGCCAGCTTTCTATCTCTACCTCATTCGTTACTAGTAGCATGGCCTTGGGTCAGTTATTTTATTTTATTATTATTTTTTAAAGATTTTATTTATTTATTTGACAGAAAAAGAGGTCACAAGTAGGCAGAGAGGCAGGCAGAGAGAGAAGGGGAAGCAGGCTCCCCACTGAGCAGAGAGCCCAATGCGGGGCTCAATCCCAGGACCCTGCGACCATGACCCAAGCCGAAGGCAGGGGTCACCCAGGCACCCAGGTCAGTTATTTTAATCTCATGCAGCCTGCTTCTTCATCTGTATTATCTGTATCACGAGGTGATATAACTACTTCATATGGTTTTGTGAAGCTTGGGAAAATAAAGACAGTGCCCCGGGCTCTCAATTAGTGACAGGTATTATATTGGCACAGCTAAGGAAATTATGATACACAGAGATCAAGGTAGTAGTAAATGTTCACATAGTTCAGTGATATCTATGCTGGGGCCAGAATATAAACCTATTTCTGCAACAGGCAGAAGACATGAACAGATATTTTTTTCAAGGAAGACATCCAGATGGTGAACAGACAGGTGAAAAAATGCTCAGTATCACTCATCATCAGGGAACTACAAGTCAAAATCCCCCTTGGGGGCTCAGTTGGTTGAGTGTCGCACTCTTGATTTTGGCTCAGGTCATGCTCTCAGGATAGTGGGATCGAGCCCAGCCTCAGGCTCTGTGCTGTGTGTGGAGCCTGCTTGGGATTCTCTCTCCCTTTGCTGCCCCAAAGAGATTAGGAGCTCAAGGATTACGAAGTAAGTGTTTAGAGGGTGGAGATGATCAGTCCTGATTCCAGATTCTAAAATATGGCCAACCAATGAATATTTGTTTTTGTGTCTCTGCAGTTTTAGCTGCTGATGAAACCAACAAACAAGATAAAAAAAGGTTCTGGCTCTTGAGTTTATAATCTAGTGAAAAGAGCAAATTATAAATAAATAAACAAAATAATTTCAAGCAGTGGTAAATCATAATGGATTGATGTAAGAAAGCCTGTCTAGGTAAGGGATAGAATCCTGTCTTAAATGATGAGGAAGTACTGGGAGGAATATTGTCTGGGCAGGAGGAAACTATGCAACTGGAAAGTTCCCTTGATGGTAATGAACTTGGGTGTGTTCATGGGAGAGAAAGAAAAGAGAGCATTTGAGCACTGAAAGTGGGGATGAGAGTGGTGGGAGATGAGATTTCGGGAGGTAGGGCAGAGGCCTGCTCAGTAGGGTCTTGAGGGTCATGGTAAAAAATTGTGGGTTTTTAGGGCGCCTAGGGGGCTCCGTCCATTAAGCATCTGGGGCGCCTGGGTGACTCAGTGGGTTAAAGCCTCTGCCTTCAGCTCAGGTCATGATCCCATGGTCCTGGGATCGAGCCCCACATTGGGCTCTCTGTTCCGCGGGAAGCCTGCTTTCTCCTCTCTCTCTGCCTGCTTGTGATCTCTGTCTGTCAAATAAATAAATAAAATCTAAGCATCTGCCTTAGGCTCAGGTCATGATTCCAGGGTCTTGAGATGGAGCCCTGCTTCGTGGGGAGCCTACTTCTTCCTCTCCCTCTGCTGCTCCCCCTTCTTCTGCTTGCACACTCTCTCTGTCAAATAAATAAACAAAATCTCAAAAAAAAAAAAAAGGTGGGTTTTTAGTAGTTGGAATAGGGAGTTACTGGAGTGCTTTATGTAGGAGTGTTAGCCTACCTGGCTTATATTTTTATCTTTTTAGGATTTTATTTATTTTGAGGGGCGCCTGGGTGGCTCAGTGGGTTAAGCCTCTGCCTTCAGCTCAGGTCATGATCTCAGGGTCCTGGGATCGAGTCCCGCATCGGGCTCTCTGCTTGGTGGGGAGACTGCTTCCCCCTCTCTCCCTGCTGCCTCTCTGCCTACTTGTGATCTCTCTCTGTGTCAAATAAATAAAATATTGGGAAAAAATTTTTTTATTTATTTTGAGAGAGAGGAAGAGAACGTGAGCAGGGGAGAGGGGCAGAAGGGGAGGGAGAAGCAGACTCCTTGCTGAGCATGGAACCTGATGTGGGGCTCAATCCTAGGACCCTGGGATCAGGGCCTGAGCTAAAGGCAGGAGCTTAACCCACTAAACCACCCAGCTGCCCCTATCAGGCTTATATTTTTGGAAGGATCACTCTGGTTGCTCTTTGCAGAAGAGCAAAGACCAGAGTCTTTGGATCATGGAAAGACCAGAGTGGAAGCAGTTAGGGTGGCTGGGATTAGGTATATGTCAGTGGAACTGTACGCAAGGAAGAGCAAATTCTCATAATCCTCTTTGACTTCCCAAACAAAAGAGTCCCCCATTTAGGGTCGCCACATAAAATACAGGTGCTCTGTTAAGCTTGCATTTCAGTAGTATAAGTTTTTTTTTTTTTTTTTAACTACGTGTTCCCAAATATTGCATAGGAAATTCTGAAAACCTATTCGTTATCTGAACGCAAATAAAAGGGGGCATCCTGCCTTTTTACGTGCTACATCTGGCAACTCTACCCCCACGAGAATGTGAACTCCTTGAGGGCAGAACCCGCGTCAGTCTGGTCCCACACCTACGTGGTGGCGTAGTGCCCGCCGGGCACACAGCGGGAGCCCGCACAGGCTCACCGAAAGAATTAATGAAGGTTTAGGGAAAGAATAAAAGGAGGCACGGGAGCCCCTTGGTGCGGAGGTGCGGACGGGGGAAGTCGGAGAGAATGGGCGGCGTGGGGGCCGCGACACTGGCAGGCAACTGCGGGGAGGCGAGAAGCGGCCGACGCGCTGAGGTCACTGGCGCCCGCTGCCCTGGTGACGTCATCACGCCGGCGCTCTCCGCTTCGCCGGGGCTCTCCGTGGCGCCGGCGCCGCCTCGGCTGTTGTGGTGACGGGGGGTTTCTGCTGACCCCGGCCCTGCTCAGGCCGCCTGCGGAGCGGTCCATTTCCGGCCGTGGCCGTCCGTCCCTGTCATTTACCGAACGCCCGCAGGCCTGGCCGCTCCCCCGCGGGGAGAACTTCTCAGGGCCATGTCCAGGCCGAGCAGCGTCTCCCCGCGGCCGCCCGCTCCTGGCGGCGGCGGGGGTGGCCCAGCTCAGGGCGGCCCTGGGGTCGGGGGCCGGGCGAGGGGGCTGAAGGACATTCGTATAGACGAGGAGGTGAAGATCGCGGTCAATATCGCTCTGGAGCGCTTCCGATACGGGGACCAGAGAGGTGAGGTTCCCGACGGGGACCCCGCCGGCTGCCCCGTCTCCCCCACGCCGGGACCCACCGTGTAAAGGGGCCGCCTCAGAGTGGGGCGGGAAGGCTTGGGCCGCCCCCCGGCCCGCGGCGCACTGGAGCCGGCCTCCGCGGCGGGCCCGGGGCGCGCTTCGTAGCGCTGGGTGGGAGGCACGGGCTCCCTGCATATCCGCTGGGCTGAAGCACTTACCTGGCGTGAGTCAGAAGGTGGAAAGAGGCGCGTTGCTCCCCTGCAGGACGCGTTTCTTTCATCCAGAGAGAGGCCTTCAGGCAGGCAGCTTGGGGGCGTCGAAGCCACAGTTTTTAGGTATTGATCCCCCCCTCTTTTTTAAAAGGAGATTATGGTAGCCTTAGCTGAGGCACGTTTAAGCTACAGCAGGAGAGCAGAGGACACCAGACGAATAAATGCATTGGCAATATGTAGTGCTTGGTTGAAATCCCGAAAGCATCACGCTTAAACACCGAAAAAAATTAAACCGGTTTTGGTGGATGAAACGTCTTTCATACCCCTTAAGGCTAGAAAGCTCCTTGCCTTGGGTCATAGCGTGCAGAACCCACAGCCCACCCGCGGTGATCTGTACAACATAGTGTCCATTCCGATTTGCTGGCCTAGGTGGAGGCCCTTGACTTTGGAACCTTACAGTCCAGAACAGGCAGGGACTTGAGCAGAATTTGTTTGCCGTAAACAAAGCCTCAGCAATAGGAAAGCAACACGTCCCCTCTACGATAGTGAAATATTAATTCTAGACAGTTTTGAAAGCAAAGACAATGGGGTTTGACATTGAGCATTTATAATGCTTGAGCATCGCTCATTGCAGAAGGAAACGAACCTTTTGCGAATTAAGCAGGTCAGGACTCAACTAAGTTAAAATAGGAAAATAGGTTCATCAATTAGTCATCTTACCAAATTGAAGATTCCAGTACAAATAAGAGGAGTAATCTTTGGTGAACAGGAGAGTCCTCTATCACGTTTAGATTTAATTTTTATTAATATGGTAACTCTGGTAGACATTCAGCAGTTAATTGAATTAATCACGACTTCACGCATAAAATGACCTTTTCACAGAATGAAAATGACTTTTCACATAAAATCACATATGCTTAAAGGATTTTTTTTTTTTTTTTTTTTAAGAATGCTTTGGGGAGGGGAAGAGAGAGGGAGAGAGAGAATCTGAAGCCGACTCTATGCCCAGTGTGGAGCCCCACTTGGAGCTCAGTCTCACGGCCCTGAGATCATGACTAGAGCAGAAATCAAGAGTCGTGTGCTCAACTGACTGAGCCACCCGGGCGCCCATTTTTTTCACATTTTATATCTGTATGTTTATTGAAGCACCTTTATAGAAAATCGTGTATTCCCAAATGGTCCTTTGTGTGTGTGTGTGTATTTTTTTTTTTTCCATGTAGAAATGGAATTTCCTTCCTCTTTGACCAGCACTGAAAGAGCCTTTATTCATCGATTGAGTCAATCTCTTGGTTTGGTCTCTAAAAGTAAAGGGTAAGCTGATAGTTTTTCTTATTTAAACATAATTATTTACCAAAAAAGAGAAATGTTCCTGACTCCATTTAAGTAGTTACTACTGTTTTAGATTCACATCCTTAATTATATTGTAGATAAACTGATTCATGTCTGTACCAAACTCAGCTCTTTGCGTTTTCCGTTAGGGGGTTTAAAAAAAAAAAAAAGTAAAATTTAAAGTGTAAGAAAAATAGTTTAAAAGTTGAAGTTGCTTGCTGGAAGAAAGTGTTTTCTTTTTTCGTAGAAACTAGTCTCCTTTTTAAAAAAGAATGGATGGACTAAAGATAATAAGTACAATTATTTACAGAACTATTTCTTTTAATGTTACTATACTGTAATGGTAACTTTAGAATACATAATCATTGTTTTCTTTCCCATCAGCTTAAGAATCTGGTGATTAAAAATGACTAAATAGGGGTGCCCGGGTGGCTCAGTGGGTTAAAGCCTCTGCCTTCGGCTCGGGTCATGATCTCAGGGTCCTGGGATCGAGCCCCGTATGGGCTCTCTGCTGGGCAGAGAGCCTGCTTACCCCTTTCTCTCTCTCTGCCTCTCTGCCTACTTGTGATCTCTGTCTGTCAAATAAATAAAATTTTTAAAAAAATTGACTAAATAAAATGGTCCTATATTTGAGGACCACTGACCACAGAGAGAAAAAGTCATTTGAACTATCCAATTTGAAGGGCTCAATTTTAAAATTACATGGAACAATTTCATTTTGGGGATAAGAATGATGGGATTGCTATATATAGCAGGGTTTCTCAATATTGGCACTACTAACATTTCAAACTGGATAATTATTTTGGAGGGCTGCCTTGTGTATTGTAGCATATCTAACCTTACCCAGGAGCAACTCCACTCACCGTTTTAACAACCCAGAATGCCTCTAGACAGTGCCAGAGTGACCTCTTGTTAAGAACCAGGGTTGGGGAAGAAAGATAAAATTTCAGCTTACCAGGGTTTAGGTTAAGAAGAGAGAAAACAAAAGATTATGAGGTCAATATTTGTAACAAACAGCAGGATAAGTCCTAAGAGGAAAGTATCTGATGTAGGAATGTCTGGCTTTTGAATGCCCACAATGCTACATTAGAGGAAGATGGGCTTTAGCTTAGGTGAACGTGCATTTTGAACATCACTAAGGCCAGGGCTGGAAAACAATGGTAGATTTTGGGCATGCCCATATCATAGTCATCTGGATAAGTTAAATACTGCACTTGCAGATGAAAAGAGTACAGAGCCATAATCCTTTATCCAAAAACACTTGGAACAAGTGGATTTTGAGATTCAGATTTTAGGGTATATTTGAAATGTGTTATGTAATACCCCTCATAAGGTACAGGCATTACATTTAATCACATTATTTCTGCTGGTAACCATGGATGTTCACAGTAAGATAAATAAATACTAGAAATAGACTCATGTCCATGTAGTCAGGCTTTCCTGACAAATGTAGTTGCTGCCTTTAACCTTAGAAATAAAACTGCCAGTTACTTTGCGAGCAAGAGGTGGGTTTCTTTGGAAGTAGGGGGTTGCAGGCTGGGACAAGCAAGCTACTACAAGTCCAACAAACAAAAGAGAGGAGCATGATTTTGTGGAGAAGGAGGAAGTTGGGAGGGGTTGTCCTGAACAAAAGTTAGAGAGAAGCCAGAAGGGTGATGACAGTTTCTCATTGGCTGGGTTTCAGGGATGGTTGATTTCTTGTAGAAGAAGAAGAAGAAGCAATATAAAGCTTTCCTGTTGAGGTCCGTAGTAGAAGCTCCTTTTCTTTCCTTTTTTTTTTTCCCCCACAGAGTGGGAGGGAAAGGGGTAGAGGCAAAGGGGGAGGGAGATAGAGAATCTTAAGCAGGCTCAACACCCAGCATGGAGCTCGACACAGGGCTTGATCCCACAACCCTGAGATCATGGCCCGAGCTGAAATCAGGAGTCAGACAGATTAAATCTTAACCAGACTTAACCAACTGAGCTACCCAGGTGCCCCCAAGTTTCTTTCCTCTTGAGGCTCCTCAGCTGGGTCTGTAATAGACAATTCTTCCTGGAACTGACATGAGTAGTTGGGCTTGTCCTACCAGTCTCCCTTGCTCACATCCCCTTTCCACTAGTGTGTTTCCACTTAGTGAGGTTTCCCTTTATTAATTTTCACAATGCAGACTTAGAGAAATCTTCCAGTTTTCATTGTTGTTTGGGTTAAGAGTTGCTGCTAAAAGGTTGTCTGAAAGCATTTGTTGTAAAGGCACAGTTCTGTAGCTCCATCATTTCTGTGGTCGAATGGGTTGTGAATTCTGAACAGTTAACATGGAAATGACCTTTAGAAATTACCCTTAGAATAGCAGTCCCTTAGAATGGATGACATCTGCTTCTGTCCAGTAGCACGATTATTTAAGGGATGGTCCCAAATGGAGAAACCTGGGGCAGGGGAGAGTTCAAGATAGAAGTTATCAGGACAAAAAAAGGTGGATGAGGAAACACTGAAAGGAGAGAGGAAAAAAGATGCTGAGGGAAGCCAGCCAACCCTGCCTTCTCATCTAGACTCTAGTCACTATTCCTTGCGCTCTACAAACCCTCTAGGGAATGTCCTAGCACTTTCCCTCCCCTTTTTATCTTTGATTAAAGGTAGTACAATGTTTATCTAGTGGTCCTTGTGATTTTCAAATGCCTTTTCTTCTTTTCACGTATAGGAGGAACTTTGAATGTGGTTCTTGTATCCTTTCTTTTCACTTACATGAGAATTTGTACCTGACTTACATTTTTATGTTTTTTGTTTTGTTTTGTTTTGTTTTTCTTAGATTTTTAAAATTTATTTGACAGGGAGTTGGAGAGTGAGCACAAGTAGGCAGAGTGGCAGGCAGAGGGAGAGGGAGAAGCAGGCTCCCTGCTGAACAGGGAGCCCGATGTGGACTCAATCCCAGGACCCTGGGATCATGACCTGAGCCGAAGGCAGCCGCTTAACCACCCAGGCACCTGTTTTTATGGGTTCTTTTGTTCACCATTGAGTAGAGGATTTTTTCCCCCACTTCCTTAGTTTTTCTGCCTTTTTCCCCCCCTTTTGTACCTGGTATCATGGTTTCTTAATATGTATTCGAGAGAAAGCCTGGTGTGGCGGAAAAGGCAGGCAAGTTGGATTTGACTCCTTGTGTCTTACTGCCTCCTTCTCCAGCTTTGGTCATGGCCCTTAACTTTCAGGGCCTGTTTTCTTAAATGTAAAGTATGAAGGAGTTAAGTCTCTTTGTTTTAGTTCAGATTCTGTAGTTTATTTTGAGCATCTTACAAGGTCTGAGAATAGATTCTAGGCTTACTGTGTGAAAGTTTACACTTATTTTTTCTCATCACTTTCTCCTTTTTGCTCTCCTTTCTTTCAAAATTCAACCATGTGTGCTGGATTTTGTTTTTCCTTTCCTCCTGAAGAGTTGGATAGATTTTGCAATTGATTACTTGTTGTGGATTACTTTTTATAATTGCTCATCTTTGGGTGAAATTTCTCTTGTCGGAGTAATGTCCTCATATTGTGCTCTTTAGTGTAGCCTAAAGTTTTGTTTGAAATTGTCGGCAAGCTTCTCCATACTGAAATTTCACCTCCTTATAATTTGTTTCCGTTTTTCCCCAACTGAAATCTGAGTTTTCGTTTTAAGAGCACACTTTTCTGAGTCTCATGAACAGAACAGAATTTCTTTTCCTGTTCTTTCTAGTCTTAGTTACACAAAATGAAATTTACCAAATGAATTCTGTTAAAGACTTGTGGAAAGAGAAACTATGAAGTACGTGGAAATAGGTTTTCCAGGTACAGGTTTCTTACCCTGTGATTGCTGACATTCCTGCTTCCTAGGTATCCATGTGTTCTAGTCACCCTGACTGCAAGTCTCTACCCTGTAAGAAAGCCCCCCTGTTCAGATTCAGGTTCCTACCTCCATTGCCTCTTGCCTGGGAAGATTATGTATTGCACTTTTCTTTTCTGCCCCTACTTCAAATAGGAAAAATTGGTTAAAGGTTACTTAAGTGTCTTACTGACTTTCTGGGCATCCATTGAAAAGAAACAGCCTACGATGCCCAATAGTAAAAATAGTGACAGTTCATGTTTATTAAGTACTCTTATGCAGCAGGCCTGGTGCTGGAGGTTTTAAGTAGATTAGTTCATGCTGACCATAGTCTTAATCAGTAGATTCTATTAATAACATCCGGTATCTGTCTAATAGGTGAGGCAGTTCGGGGTTGGAGACATTAAGTAATTTTCCCAAGAGCACATAGCTAGCAAGGGGCAGAGCCAGGATTTGAACATAGTTAATGTTTCATTACTTTTTGATTGTTTATAGGGGCACAGTAATGTCCTAGGAGCTGTGAGAAGTTAAAATGGAAATATTAGGTAGATCTCGCCTTTAAGTTGTTCATAGTCCAAAGTCACAGAATGAACCAGTGTGCCACCATCATAGTGTCCATGACATGAGAGCAACTTTGTTTAGTGACAGAGTTGACGGATTGGTTTATTAATTTCCACATAATCACAAAAGAAAGTACAAATTAGTGTGATATAAACTTCAATAAATTCACAATTCTATTCTACAGTATTGGGAAGAAAATGGTTTGGAGTTAGGTTTTTGCATCTTTCTGCCTAAAAGAAGTATAAATTAAGGAAATAGGAAATGATGCATCTGTAAGGCATCGTGTGAATGTGGATTATTTTTTGAGACATTTAGCTCCTTGGTGGCTGTGAGCTTCTTACATTGTCATCTCAGATTTTGGCTCTTTAGCTTATTTTTTTTTTAAGAAAAGGATTATTAGAGAGAGTGTGCGGGTGCATGGACGAGGGGCAGAGGGAGGGGTAGAGTGTGCGTGTGCATGTGCACGTGCATGAGCAGGGGGTAAGGGGAGGGGCAGAGGGAGAGAGAGAATCTCAAGCAGACTCCATGCCCAGCACGGAGCCCCATGAGGGGCTCAATCTCATGACACTGAGATTATGACCTGAACTGGAACCAAGAGTTGGGCACTTAACCTACTGTGCCACCCAGGTTCCCCCTAGCTGATTTTTTCAACTGTTTACGGATTAGGAGAGTGGAGAATAGTAAGGCATATGGTTCTATTTGAGGTAAATGTTCAGTAACATGCTGTATAAATTGACAAGTTGATATTAAAATTGCATCAAATTTGATGAGTTAATAGTTTTTTTTTTTTAAAAAGGAAGAAGCCATGGAAATGCCAAACTTCCTGATAGCATGTATTGATTACTTTTACACTTTGAAAGTTAGATATTATGTTCTTGCCTGTAATATTAGCACATTTATGTTTAAAATTCACATGTGGAGCTTGCATTTTATTTTGAAAAAATTGTGACATTAATTTATTTAGCATTGTGCAGCTAGTTTCTAGTTAATTTTGTTTTGAAAAGGAGTCTCTTAACGGTTTTATTCAAAGAGTAGTGCCACTTTGGAATGAAAACATAATGAGATTTCAGTGTGTTAGTTTACAAAGTAGGACAAATCTCTGGTGTGTTGAATGTTTTCATCCTCACAACAAGATAAATATTTTATTGAACATTTCACTAATCTTTATCATTTACCGGTGTCACTGGTGCTGAATGTGGCAGGAATGAGAGCACTAGGAGCCACAAGTAGAATCTTCCTAAAATATAAAAACTATCGAGTTGATTATATCTTTCTACCCTACCATCTGTGTTCAAAATGAATTCAGTAAATTTTAAATGGTAATGGCCAAGTACTCACACATGCTTACTTTGAAGTTATTTTTGTACTTAAATGCTGTATTATTAGTAGGCAGCTTATGTTAGGAAAGTTTGAATCTGACCCATTTTAGTTGTGAGCTTGTGAGGAGAGTATATTCTACTCAACTTTGTAATCCCAGCTTCTAGCATAGTGCCTGTCATACAGTAGGTGCTCAATATATGATAATGATTGAATGAATGAATGAAATAAAATTAGCTAAAGGTGAAATACGGCAGAACTTTCCAGAGACAGTTTTCAAGAAAATTAAAGCCTCTTGGAGCTGATAGATACAGCAGAGATTTTTAAATTAACTTGTGTATGGTGTGAGAGGAATAAAATTTTTGATCATATAGCTAGTTAGTTGAACACAAGACTCCTGGCTCTTGGCTCTAGTGCTCATTCATTCCTGGACACTTCCTGCCTTCTGTAGTTGAAAGTTTTATGAAATAAATGGCACAGGAGGGGAGTGAATGATTGTGTCTATAATGACTGTGCTGAGTTTTTAGAAAGGTCCATGGGAGAAGAACCTACTGCAGAAATTACCTCTAGAATCCAGTAATTCTTATTTACCATAGAAATAACCAAAATTCTTAGATCAGGTTAAATTTAGTTATTTCACCTTTATCTCGTAATTTAAAGATCACTAAGAGCTTGTTAAGGAATAGATTAGATAGTTCTGAACACTTAATAATTCATTAAAGCCTTCCATAAAGAGTTTCTAGAAATTAAAAATCTTGGTAACTCAAAAGTCTCACTTAAGGCTTAGACAGCTCAAACTGTATAGGTTAATCTCCAGTTCGATACTGTTTTTGCTGTGAAAATATTGTTAAAAAATTTTAAATAATGAAAATTAGGAAAAGTGTACATGTACTTTTCATTGTATTTGTGGTTTTGTTGCTCACTTCTGTAATGTGATAGTGACAGTAACAAGTGGTAGAACGTTTTATGAAATATTTTGGGTAACTTTTAAAAATAAGTTATTTTTTTCCAGACTATGTAATAATAGCTTTCATTCATTTAATACTTACTTTGTAACAGATTTTGCCGTTTATATGCGTTATCTTATATAGTCATGAGTAATCCTTTGGGGCAGGTATTACTATTATCTTAGGGTCAGAGCTATTAAATAATTTGTTTATAGTCCCACAGCTGATAAGTAGTGGAGCTAGGATTCAAATCCACGTTGGTATGCTTTTAGAGCCTGAGTGCTTTACGAGTACTCTATTGTATTAGATTATGGACATGCATTTCTAAATCAGTCAAAACGCATTTGAGGACTTCCTGTGTGTATAACATTGTACCTGAAACTCTTGGAGCTACAGAAGTCATAGAAGACATCATCAGTCCTGGACCAATTGAAGCAACAAATACACTTACATCAAATAATTTGATAACAGTTATAAAGATGTATCAGGTAATGACTTTGTAACTGAAGGCGAGAGCCCAAAGCTTTGAAAAATTTCTTTTTCCCAAGATGCATGTGAAAATACTTACCAGTAATGTTGATTTATGCTTTTTTGGTCCAGCCACTAAGCTTGGTTCTCAACAGGTTTTCATGGGATGTGACATTACCAGCATACTATGGAAACATTCAGTGGGCTATGAACTGTACCTTTTTTATTAGTGTTTTTAGATTCTGTTGTTCAGATTGGTTTTCTCCCTCTGTATGCTTCCAACTGGTGATGTTTCATCCATCATGAAGTCTGCTAAGTCAGACTTCAACATTTGTGGGTAAGTAAGCCACTTGGGAGGTTTAAAATCTGGATTTGCTGCAGTTTGAAATTTTAACTGAATATGGTCTTGTGGCCACTTCAGCACCAAACCCCCTTCTTATAGACTTTTTTGGGATTTTCAGCATCTTCTTCCAAAGCATTTTGATTTTTTTCAATGTTTTACTTGAGACATGTTTTCTAAGTAGGCATACATCATTTGTGAACAAATTGACTCTATGTAGTAAATAAATGATTTTTATTAATATTCAGAAAGGGAGCAAATAGATACCTAACTGTGAAGAAGAAAGATGGATCAGAAACAGCTCATGCAATGATGACCTGTAATTTGACTCATAATACAAAACATGCTGTTAGGAGCCTAATTCAGAGATTTCCTGTCACCAATAAAGAGCGTACTGAACTTCTACCTAAAACAGAAAGAGGAAATGTGTTTGCAGTTGAAGCTGGTATGTATTTTCTGGGGAGCTTCCTTGTCTATCCTATTATTTGATGACTGTTCTTTTACCATTTTAAATTTATTTTTTTTTTAAAAACTAAGATGCAGTAAGATTTCTCAGTTTGAATCGTTTGTTAGAAATGAGAAAGAACTGTGGAGGTTTTGGAATGACATGCAGTGTTAAGGCACGTGATAAAGTTAGACAAGTCTTCAAGCGTCACAGTGACAGCTGTCTATTGAGCACCCGTTGTATGCTAGACAATGTCATAAACTCTTTATATAGGGCCTCATAGAACCTTCCAAGGCCAGAATTTCCTCTATTTCAGGGGTGATTAAATGGGTTCAGAGCAGTTAAGTAATTTACTCAAGGCTACTCAACTAGCCACTAAACTGCAGAGCTGGGATTTGACTCCACAGTCTGGACTTTCCTATGTTACACTGCTGAGACATGCTAATCGGTGAGCTTTTGAATTTGGGCTTTAGCTTCTGGTAAGAGGACAGAGTCTTCAGTACACTAACTTGCCAGAAGGTAGATAAATAATATTTTTAGGTTATAAAATGAAGTTCTAATTTTATTATTTGGAAAAATAACTTCTTAGAAAATTATTATTTACCTAAAGTGACAGATACGCATTATTTCCATTGTCTGTTGGAGTAGGTTTGCAGAGTGTAGAAAATACATAGTCCTAGATAGCAAGGAATTTAAGTTCTAAATACATGGCCACAAAAATGTTAAAATGTTTTGAGTTATGTGAAGAATATAAAACACATCATGCCTCTTTTTTATTCCTGTCTGCTCATTAATTAAATGTAGATGCTGACTCAAATTCTTCATAAGGAAATTTGTTAAGATTAGGACCTTATATTTATACGTATTCTATATGATCACATAGTCTTACATATTTAACTTTACACATACAGACTATTACTCTTTTCACAATGTGTTTTCATATTGTGCATAAAAGACTTGTTATGCACGTTGTTTCCCATTTTAGTTTTTTGTGTCATTATTGATAGAAGCAAGCATGAAAACTCTTTTACGATATCAGAATCCTGTTATATTTTTAGTGGTTACAGAGTGATTGATTTCTGTTCATTTGTAAACATTATGCACCAGAAATACTTTTAGAAATTGGCCTTTTGATTGATAACCGAAATTTGTAACTTGTTTTTAAAGAGTATTAAGTGTAGGAGTACAGCAGTGGTGCATTGCTCGCTAACTTTATGTAGACTGAGTAGAGAAGAAACATTCGAATGGAATTACATTGGAAATTACTTATCTTTGTTTTCTACACTTTTTAAACATTGCTGACCATAATTTTTTTTTTGTTCTTTTATTCATTTTCAAAGAAAACCGGGAAATGAGCAAAACAAGTGGGCGACTCAACAATGGCATACCTCAGATTCCAGTGAAAAGAGGGGAATCGGAATTTGATTCTTTCAGGCAGTCTCTGCCTGTGTTTGAGAAACAAGAAGAAATTGTTAAAATAATTAAAGAAAATAAAGTAGTTTTGATTGTAGGAGAAACTGGGTCTGGAAAGACTACGCAGGTTTGTTTCTGCTTTGTTTTTTATGGAAAACAATATTTTATCCCACAGGATAGTTTTATATCAAATTTGTACTGAATGTATTTTAACCAAAAAAGCCCCTTTTGGTTACTTAGTGGTTATTTTAGAAATACTGCTGGGAGTGCACTTTGAGAGTTTATAGAAAGGAAATGTTTTAAAAATAATACTTTTAAGCTAACACATTGGGGCTTCGTTTAAATAGACGAGGGGGGGTGGGCGCCTGGGTGGCTCAGTGGGTTAAGCCGCTGCCTTAGGCTCAGGTCATGATCTCAGGCTCCTGGGATCGAGTCCTGCATTGGGCTCTCTGCTCGGCAGGGAGCCTGCTTCCTCCTCTCTCTCTCTCTCTCTCTCTGCCTGCCTCTCTGCCTACTTGTGATCTTTGTCTGTTCAATAAATAAATAAAATCTTAAAAAAAAATAGACGTGGGGCATATGATTGGGCATAAAGGGATATGGACGAGGCTAGTCTTGTAACCTCCGTGAGCCAGAGCCCACATTTGTAAAATGGAGCTAATAATTGCTCCCATTTACGGTGAAGTTTAGAGATGTCTGTAATGAGCCTACCAGTGTTTTGTATGTAGCAGCTAAATTAACAGCAGTATTAACAATGATGTGTTAATATAAAGTCGACTGTAGACATTGAGACCTGCGCAGGTCCCAACCTGTTTGTGGTTTGGGGTTGCTATCCGTCTCATAAAACAAAGTAGAGGGTTTGTCTTCTGGAAAGACAAAGTCGTCTTCTCCTCTGAGAAAGTCTCCTACATCGTTGGCTTCGGCATCTCCCGTGAATAGGGAGGCAGGGATCCAGGCCTCAGGAGTCTGGGTTTTTGGCTGAGGTAGAGAGAGAAGACAGTGCTTATAACCAGAAAGTCCAGAGTCGTGTGTAATTACCTCCAGGACTCATCCCTGTTAACCGAGCCTGGGCTTTGTGACAGATGTAGAAGGAGATTCCTTAATATTAATGATACAGTGTTAAAAAAATAAAGTTGGCTCTAGAATGGAGTTAGTATGACAGGTTTGACTTGGATGTTTAGTATCAAAGTGCTTCAGTGTGCGATTTCCCTCATTGGGTGATGGATTGGAAGTAAGTATGGTATAGTGATTTGACCTTGTTTATGTTTTTTACATGTTCACATGTTAAAATAGTAAAATTACCTTGATTTTGATAGATTCAGATAGAATAGTCAATATAATTTTACATTTTTTTCTCTTCTTTTATGGACATATAAATTTGCTTTTGACAATCACTTAACATTTCCTATGGTCATATCGGTTGGCGTAATAAGCCTAGTCCATAGGTAAGGCAAGGGGGTAGAGGCAAAGTTGACTATAAAGTTTACCACTTATTCACTTGAAGGACTTAGCCATTTTTACAGAGGTGTAACTATGCCTAAAACATGAGCCTCTAAAGCTGGATAATGAAAAACACGATGAAATTTTTACCTGAGCACAATGTATAAGATTTTTCTTTAGCGTGAGTCCTTTTATGATTAATTGGAATTCCATGGAGTCATTCCAGAGAATTGGTTCAGTTGTTGATTTAGTATTAGAGTAAGTTTTGCCAGTAGGTTTTAATTGTACTCTTTCTAATTATATTGAGCAGGGATTACGAGAGCTTACTTTGGCAGCACATATACTGAAGGGAGATTATGAAAGTTTTGACAAATATAATAAATTTGTGTTTTCATTTAAATTATTTGAATATCCTTGCTAAATGATCTTTGTATATGGGCATTAGGTATGCTTATTTTCACAATTATGTGTATCATTATATTAGGTATGACGATACTTGAGAATTTAATTAGAAATGGATTATTTGATTATGGCTTTTCGAGAAGAAACTATTAATTTACTGGGTTTACACCTAAGAAATGATCACATCTTATTTGAGGAGTTCAAATAAAATTACTGATGTATCTGTTTTATGAAATATAAATGTAATAGAATTCAAAGTTCATATCATTAGCCAGTTTCATCTTGCCTTTACTAGCATTAGGAAGTTAATTGCCTTTTGCATTTTCATGTTCACTGTTCATGTTCATTATGTAAAATTCAAACATTATGGAAAATAGTACATAGAAAGTGAAAGATTTCTAATTCTCTTGCTACTTTCCATGCATTTTTGTCAGAAACTTGGAGTATGTATTTGTTTTTTTTTTTAATTTTTTGATCTTTGCGTTTCATTTTCTTTAGAGCACTGATATATATATGTACATGTATAATTATATATATAACATATTAGATATTATATATAACCACTGATATATATATTTATTTTATTTTATTTTATTTTTTAAAAAAGATTTTATTTATTTATTTGACAGAGAGAGAGATCACAAGTAGGCAGAGAGGCAGACAGATTGAGAGAGAAGGAAACAGGCTCCCCGCTGAGCAGAGAGCCCAATGCAGGACTCCATTCCAAGACCCTGAGATCATGACCTGAGCCGAAGGCAGAGGCTTAACAACTGAGCCATCCAGGCGCCATATATATATATATATGTATACATATATATATACATATATATATATATATATATATTTATAAACAAACATGAAATAATATGCCTTTTGCATCTTGCTTTTTTCACTTAAAAGATATGGGATATTTTTCAGTAGCTAGAGATATAACTCTTTTTTTTTTCTTTTTTAAGATTTTACTTATTTATTTGACAGGGAGAAACACAGCAAGAGAGGGAACACAAGCAGGGGGAGTGGGAGAGGGAGAAGCAGGCTTCCCATAGAGCAGGGAGCCAGACGTGGGGCTTGATCCTAGGACCCTGGGATCATGACCTGAGCCAGAGGCAGATGGTTAACAACTGAGCCACCCAGGTGCCCCAGAGATATAACTCATCTAAAAAAAAAACTTTATAGTATTCCCGAACATTTTACAATAACAATGATAAAAAATGACAATTTACTATGTGTTGAACTTTTGAGTTCGCTCGTTTAAATCTCTCAGTAACCTCAACACATGTAGGCTTTTTATTATCTCTACAGGTGAGGAATAAAAACTGGAACTTAAAGATATAATCTGTCCATATTCCCATAGCTAGGAAGTGGCACAATAGGGATTTTATTCTTGTATTGTACTTCTTAATATTGTATTCTAATACTTCTTTGCTAATTTATGGGAGTAGTTTCATAGGGTAAGTTCCTAGGAGTGGAAATGCTTGGTCAAGAATGTGGCAGTTAAATTTTAGTAGCTAGATTAGCTAGTTATTGTCTGATAACTCAAAAGAGAGTTGTATTATAATAAAATTGAAGATATTGAAGGTTCCCATTTCTTTGAAGCTTGGGCAGCAATGATTTACCTTTATTAATCTGATAAACAAGAAATAATGTTTTTTTTTTTTTAAAGATTTTATTTATTTATTTGTCAGAGAGAGAGAAGGAGAGAGAGCGAGCACAGGCAGACAGAATGGCAGGCAGAGGCAGAGGGAGAAGCAGGCTCCCCGCCAAGCAAGGAGCCTGATGTGGGACTCGATCCCAGGACGCTGGGATCATGACCTGAGCCGAAGGCAGCTGCTTAACCAACTGAGCCACCCAGGCGTCCCGAAATAATGTTTTAATTTGTATTTCCTTTCTTAGTTGAGTATCTTTTCATTTTTGCTTGTTCTGTGGGTTGCTTATTTATACCTCATTTTTCGTTTGGCTTAATCATTTTAGTTTATTTTTAATCATTTTGGTTTAATTTTAATCCAGATTAGAAATTTGGATTATTTTTAATCATTTTGGTTTTATTTTTAAATTTTGGTTTATTTAGTATTTTTTTTATTTTTTATTTTTTTATTTTTTAAAAAGATTTTATTTATTTATTTGACAGACAGAGATCACAAGTAGGCAGAGGCAGGCAGAGAGAGGAAGGGGAGCAGGCTCCCTGCTGAGCAGAGAGCCCGATGTGGGGCCTGATCCCACGACCCCGGGATCAAGACCTGAGCTGAAGGCAGAGGCTTTAACCCACTGAGCCACCCAGGCGCCCCTATTTAGTATTTTTTTTTAAATGAACCCCATCTTAAGGGAGGTTTGTGGTAGTTAGGACTATGGGACAGTGCCGGCAGAAGTTAGATATTCAGTATATCTGAATTCTTTTTTTAAGATTTTATTTATTTACTTGAGAGAGAAAGAGAGAGTGAGAGAGAGCATGAAAGGGGAGAAGGTCAGAGGGAGAAGCAGACTCCCCATGGAGCTGGGAGCCCGATGTGGGACTCAATCCCAGGACTCTGGGATCATGACCTGAGCTGAAGGCAGTCGCTTAACCTACTGAGCCACCCAGGTGCCCTATTTTTGGTTTATTTTTAATTGTTTAATATATATTTTATATGTTTTGGGTACATGTCTTTATATATTATGGGTACATGTCTGTTGCCTGTTGAGAGATCCTCAAAATGATTTTGTCAGTTTTTGTTTGTGTTTTTAGCTTTGCTTGTGGTATTCTTTGTATTAGTTTCACATTTTTATTTAGTCCAACCTGTCAGTCATTTTTTAGGGCTTTGAGCCATGCTAAGAAAGGCATTTACTACCTCAGGATTAAAAAAAAAACACTTCCCTATAAATATTTTATTCTAATATTTTTGTACTAAAGTTTTAAAAAGTCCATCTGGAACTTATAATATCGTATCAGGTAGGAATCTCACTGTTTTCCTCATGTTATTATTTAGTTGTTCCAATGTAATTTTTATTTAATTATTCTTTCCCCTTTTAGTTAGGGTACCACTTTTGATCAAATACTAAGTTTCTATAGTACCTGGGTCTGTTTCTGGAATTTTTTGTGTTTTTTTTTTTTTTTTTTAAGATTTTATTTATTTTTTTGACAGCGATCACAAATAGGCAGAGACACAGGCAGAGAGAGAGGGGGAAGCAGGCTTCCCACTGAGCAGAGAGCCCGATGCGGGGCTTGATCCCAGGATCCTGGGATCATGACCTGAGCCAGAGGCAGAGGCCTTAACCCACTGAGCCACCCAGTCCCCTGGAATTTTTTGTTTTATCTTTAATTATCTATTTTTGTGCCAAGATCCTCTTTTTACTTTTTGTAGTTTTATAATGTGTAGCATAGTATTCCTCTTTACTATCTTCTCTTTTTAAACATTTCTTAATTTGGGTTCCTTTACATTTCTGGATAAACTAGTCAAGTTAAAAAAGATCCTAGAGGCCAAGACATGCATAAAATGAAGTTCTCTCTCACTCACTGTTAAAGAGATGAAATCAAAAAGAACAATTAAAATTTTCAACTATCTTGGGGCGCCTGGGTGGCTCAGCGGGTTAAGCCTCTGCCTTCGGCTCAGGTCACGATCTCAGGGTTCTGTAATCAAGCCCCACATCGGGCTCTCTGCTCAATAGGGAGCCTGCTTCCCCTCTCTTTCTGCCTGCCTCTCTGCCTACTTGTGATCTCTCTCTGTCAAATAAATAACTAAAATCTTTAAAAAAAATTTTTTTTTCAACTATCAGATTGGCAGAAATTAAAAGGTTGATGATATTCAATATTTGAGTAGGTGTTGGGGAAACAGCATCTTCTGTTTTATGGGTCTAAGTATAAATTGTTTTGGAAGGGCACTTTGGTGATGTTTCTGTCCAAATTAAATTTATATACTCTTTCACTTGACACACATATATATAACGTATATGCAAACGTTTGTGAAAATAGGTATACACCGCAGCACTTTTTAAAATAACAAGCATCAGTAATAGCCTAAAAAACTGGAGATAATTTAACATGATACTTGTTAAATTACAGCACATCCGTAGGATGGAATATGCAGCTATTAGAGTGGAGTGGGTAGATCTGCATGTTAAGGGAAATCTGCAAATTATAAACATTAAATACAGTAATCACTTTATGTGAATAAAAACCTGTTTATATACAGAAATACTTTAAATTGTGTGAATACTTTCCCGCCAAAAACATTCATAAGAAATAGTAGTTACTTTTTTGGAGACTACTGATAGTGGTAGGGTGGGAAAGACTTAACTTTTTAAGTCTTTCTGACCTGTTTGAATTGAGTGTAGAAAGGTTCCTACAATCCCAGTATTAGGCCATTTTGGTTTTCTTTAGGCTTTTCACTATTTAAAAAATTCCAATGGAGGGGCACCTGGGTGGCTCAGTGGGTTAAGCCTCTGCCTTCGGCTCAGGTCATGGTCTCAGGGTCCTGGGATCGAGCCCCGCATCGGGCTCTCTGCTCGGCAGGGAGCCTGCTTCCCTCTCTCTCTGCCTGCCTCTCTGCCTACTTGTGATCTCTCTCTCTCTCTCTCTAAAAAAAAAAAAAAAAAAAAAATTCCAACGGAATTTGGATTGTTGTTTCATTCATTTCATAGATAATTTGGAGAGAATTGACATTTTTGCAATTACTGATTATTTCCACTCAAGATTGTGTCATATTTCTTTATTCAGTTCATGTCTTTTAGTTGTAATTTATTGTCTTCTTTGTGCAAGAGTTAACTGTTTTTATATGAATTTTTAAAATTTTATTTTAGAGTGAGAGGGTGGGGCAGGGGCAGAGGGAAAGAGAGAGAATCTTAAGCAGACTCTACCCCTAGGGCACAGCCCGACAAGAGTGCTGGATTTTATTTTATTTTATTTTATTTTTTTTTTTATTTTTTTTTTTTAAAGATTTTATTTATTTATTTGTCAGAAAGAGAGAGAGAGAAAGCACACAAGCAGGCAGAGAGGCAGGCAGAGGCAGAGAGAGAGGCAGGCTCCCTGCTGAGCAAGGAGCCCGATACGGGACTCGATCCCAGGACCCTAGGATCATGACCTGAGCTGAAGGCAGCGGCTTAACCCACTGAGCTACCCAGGCGTCCCTAGAGTGCTGGATTTTATACCGCAGATCATGACCTGAGCCGAAATCAAAGTCAAAAGTTGAACGCTTAACCGAGCCACCGAGGTGCTCTGTATATAAATTTGTTTTTAATATTTTAGTTTCTCTTGTAAATAAGATCTTTTAAAACTATATTTTCTAGTTGATTGTTAGAAGTTATATCAAAGTTGTTGATTTTATGATTATTTTATGTTAGGACATGTTACAGAACTTCTTTTTTAGTTCCAGTAGTTTTTCCACTGGACTTTGTGGGTGTTCAGTCATGTTATCTTATAGACTTTAAAACTTTCGTTTCAGATTCCTCAGTTCCTTTTAGATGATTGCTTTAAAAATGGTATCCCCTGCCGTATATTTTGTACCCAGCCAAGACGGTTAGCCGCAATTGCTGTGGCCGAAAGAGTTGCTGCAGAGAGAAGAGAAAGGATTGGTCAAACAATTGGATATCAGATCCGATTAGAAAGCAGGTAATTCTGGTTCTCCGATAGCCTATCTTTGATCGGTCTTCAAAAAGACTAATGTTTATGTTTCACTAAATACAGGGGATATGTTGGTTAAAAAATTAGATCATTTTGCTTCAAGAAAGTCTTTGATAAGATATTGAGGTCATGACTGAACTTAGTAAGGTTTTGAATACATAGGTTAAAAAAGAGTTGGGCCATAGTTACAAATCCTGTTTCATAGTTTTATGATCAAATACTAGTTAAATTCACCTCTTTGAACCTCAGTTTTCTCATCTATAAAATGGGTCCAGTAAAAGCAGCTAGAGCCCAGGTTTGATGTGAAATTTATAGTAAACAATAAATGATAGTAACGGAATTAATTATTAGAAGTGGTACTAGTAGTACCTTCTTGATCAGTGTACTGTTTCTTTGCTCTCTGTAGTTTGGATGTAGTAATTCAAAAAGCTGCTCATTTATGATGTACTTTTTTCCTCTGAGCAAAAAGTGTTAAAGGTTTTTTAAAAAAATCTATTTATGGTTCCTTAACAAAATAATTAATTAAAGGCTGTTAATAAAAATTTTGTAAGATAATCAGGTATGAAAGACATATTTCACATAACTTGGGTCATAAAGCACGCATACCAGATCGCCATTATATTAGTAGCCTTAAGTAACCCTTATTAAAGTACATATGAGACTGACATTTAATGTGATTATGTTTTCATTACATGTAAGAGTTGTAATTGCACGCTTTATTTTTATTTTTTTAAAAAGGGTTTCTCCAAAGACACTTCTGACATTTTGCACTAATGGGGTATTGCTTCGTACATTGATGGCAGGAGATAGTACATTGTCAACTGTGACACATGTTATTGTGGTAAGAATATTGCCAGGTTTGCCGCGTACAACTCAGATTGCTTAGAACGTTGAATATGTAATGACATTTTTAGGATAGAATATGCATGAAAACCAATTATTTTAAACAGCTGTTATAATCAGGTTGCTTTCTATTGCCTGTAATTGTTAGACATAAATACTTGTATCAAGTAGAGATATTCTTACTATCAGTAAGACTTTAGGTTTTATGTAAGTAAGGTTTTATGAGGGCAAATAAAGTAAGTAGGAAAGTTTTTCCAAAGTGCTTTTTGTATGAGAAAATGATACATGTGCTTAGCATTTCCCAGAATGGTGAAGGTTTCCTTTTTCCTGTGTGCTTAGTCATCTGATTCCTCCTTTAGCTAGCGTGTATTTCCTAGTCTTGGAGTGCACTTTTTTTTCAAAAAAGTTTTTATTAATTTATTGGACAGAGAGTGAGAGAGGGAGTACAAGCAGGGGGAGTGGGAGAGGGAGAAGAAGGCTCCTTGCCAAGCAGGGAGCCCGATGCGGGGCCTTGGGGTACACTTTGGAGTCATTTAACTTCATAATTAAGCTGCTAAATTAAGTAGCTACTGATGAAGTGGATGAATTACCACCTTACTAAAAAATTCTAAAAAAAAAAAAAAATTCTAAGTTTTTATCCAGTTTGTGTCAGAAAAACATTAGATTAAGTTGTATAAGTTTGCAGTAAGCAGCTTTTGGAAACTTACTAGTTGTGTGCATTCAAACCAAAGGGTGCACCTATGCCCCAATGCTAATGGAAGCTTATTTATTTATTTATTTACTTATCTAAAAGATTTTATTTATTTATTTATTTGTCAGAGAGAGAGAGAGAGAGAGAGAGCGAGAGCGCACAAGCAGGCAGAGTGGCAGGCTGAGGTGGAGAGAGAAGCAGGTTTCCTGCTGAGCAAGGAGCCTGATGTGGGACTTGATCCCAGGACCCTGGGATCATGACTGAGCAAGCGGCTTAACTGACTGAGCCACCCAGGCGTGCCTGGAAGCATATTTAAATACATTTTCTATGTATTAAAAATACATTAGGCTCCAGTACTTCAGAATTTGTTGTAGTTTGTCCTTTATATCCTCTAGGAGGTGGTGCTTTGTTACCCATGGTGGTTGTTGGTGTCTTATTATTTCTGCATTATCCATAATACAAAATTTTCATGAGTACTGATTGGACTTATTCACATTAAATTTGAATTATTATAAAACCTAGTGGCTCTGTACTTTTAAAGACTTCGTCATCCATAATGTTTTAACTATTCCATGGTTTTATTTTTGTTTATTGCAGGATGAAGTACACGAAAGAGATCGATTTAGTGATTTTTTACTTACAAAGTTAAGAGATCTGTTGCAAAAGCACCCAACTTTGAAACTTATTCTTTCTAGTGCCGCCTTGGATGTAAATCTTTTTATAAGATATTTTGGAAGTTGTCCAGTGATACATAGTAAGTTAAATGATCAGATTTCTTCTAGGATTTTTATAAAAGTACACTTTTTTGGCCTGATTATATTTATTGTAATAGGAGCTGGGGAATGATCTGAGGTAGGAGCATCCATTTCTGTTTTCTGTGAAGTATGCCTCAAAATCTCTCTAGATTTTTGTCTTCTCCTTTTCCATCCACACTCTGTCGGACTGTTGTGAGGGCAGTTCTCTAGTCTTAAAAGGACATGTGCTTTATTTTGGTCCTTTATCCTCCTTTAATTCTGTCCTCCCGTTTCCCCTTTGTTGCTAGACTCCTTGAAAGAGTAGTCTGTGTTCCCATGTTTACTTCCTGTGTACTTCAACATAGACTGCCTTTTCACTTTTGTCCTGTCCTTTAATCCAAACTGGTTTTGACACCAATCTTTAAAAAAAAAAATTATTAAATTCCTCCTTAAAAATTGAATAAGTTATATGTGTTTACTTCAGTGATAAAGTACAAATATATATAGGAGAGAGGTTCAAAATTGCCCCATCCTCTTTCCAGTTTATGGCCTACTTTGCTGATATTACTTGAGGTTAAAGCCTCGTGTATGTCCTTTCTTATGCTCCCCATGCTCATAACATATGCAGACACATCCATGTACATGTGTCTAAACTGGTTTTAGAGAAATGAGCACATGCCTTCTACATTATTTTGCAATTTGCTTTATTCATATGACGTTACATCCTGAAAAACCCTCCAGTGTCATAGCTGCAGATGTAGTTCATTATTTAAAGCAGCTGCTTTAATATTTCACAATACAAATGTACCATGATTTATTTAACCATTTATCTTTGGACACAGATTGGTCCTAACTCTCCTCTCCCCCCGACCATAAATAGTGTTGTAATAAACATCCTTGTGTGTATATCCTTATATATTGGTGCTCTTAATCCTAGGGAGAGATTCCTGAAAGTAACATTGTTGGGTAAAAAGAGTGTATCTGTTTTTAATTTTCACAGAATTTGCCACTGTACTTTTTCAGAAGAGCTGAAATGATTTATATGTATTTCTGTAGTGCATGGGGCTGTTCATTTGTATTCTTACAGGTGTTGTTTGATACTGATTTAATTGCCAAGCCTACTATTTCAGTTTTACACAAAGATCTTGAGTTTTGTGTATTTCTCATGGTTAGCTTCCCCTTTTTTGTGTGTGAAATGCTCTCATCCCAGAATTTACTTGACAGTACTGCCTCCTAAGTCTTATATTCTGCATTAGGGTCCATACTTTCATGGTCTCCTTTGTGTGCTTGTATGTTGGTATTTTATTGGCATTCTTCCCTTGACCCATTTTTTTTCTCTTCCTTACTCACCTTCCCTTCTTTTCTTTCTTTTGTTTTTCCTCTTTTTTCCTGCTCTGTACTCCTAGGTACTGGAGACACACCAGTGGTTTCCCTGGAAGCTCTCATTCATGCCCTTGGCTTCTACTTTCTTTGTTAAACTCATGACTCCTAAATCCTCATTTCCAATTGAAGCTGTTCTCCAGAGCTTTGGGTTTAGATGTCTTATAAGCAGACCATTTTTTAATAAGTCCCAAGCTAAATATTTAATCTGTTCTACAAAATCTACTTCTCATGTGTTGCCCGTTTTAGTAAATCATACCATCAACCTAGTCACCTAAGTCACAAACCTGTCTTTCTTCTCATAATATTCTTAGATGATGAGACACATAAAATGTGTGTGTCTGCTAACTGAAAGCTCATTTTGGCGTCTCACGTTTGACACAATCTGAAACCAAACTCCCAACTCTGACCAGCCAACCTGTTGCTTTCAGCTTTTCTTGTTACCTCAGAGAATGACCTTGTCATCTACCCAGTTTTGTGAGCCAGACATTGAAGAAACATGGTTGACGCTTCGTATTGTTCCCTCACATCCAATTTAGTGCTGAGTTTGTGGATTTTACTTCCTGACTATCTCTAGAGTCTGTCTCATGTTCATTTTTATCATCACCAGTTTCATTCAAATGTTGTTCTCTTTCATGTGAATTATCGGAATGATAACCCAGTCTGTTCCATCCCTTCTGCTCTCTTTTAAATCTTTGCTCTCCATTGCAGTTAGAGTGGTCTTTTCCGACATGGAATTCCGAGAATGTTGAACACTTTCTTGATCTGAAGACTTTGGATAACTTTTACCTCAGGATGAAGACCTAAATCCTTAATAAAACTTAGCTGTTTGGGGCACCTGGGTGGCTCAGTGGGTTAAACCTCTGCCTTCAGCTCAGGTCATGGTCTCAGGGTCCTGGGATCGAGCCCCACATCGGGCTCTCTGCTCGGCGGGGAGCCTTCTTCCCCCCCTCTCTCTGCCTGCCTCTCTGCTTACTTGTGATCGATCTCTGTCAAATAAATAAATAAAATACTTAAAAAAAAAACAACTTACCTGTTCCTCCTGCCTCATCTAAAATTTCAGTCCCTTCTTTACTCCCTGTCTCCCACCATGTTCCAACTAGCTTGGCTGTTTAGTTTCTTTCTCAACATAGGATGTTTGCGTGTGCTTTTGTTTTCCTCATTGTACACCTTTTCCTCTCCTGTTAGTTCAGTATTTTGTTTACCCTTTCTTTTGGTCCTCATCTTCTCTAAGAGAATGATTTTCTTAACTCCTTCAGGCCCCCCTTTATGTCATGGTATCTTGTCCTTCTCTCTGAGAGGACTTATTACAACTCTGTTTTTACATTTATATTCTGGATTTTTGGATTGATGTTTGTCTCCTTTGCTAGCATGTAAGCTTTAGGAGATTTGGAGGCAGCTGTCCTTCTTACGATTTGTATTCCTGGTGCCTAGCATGATGGCAGACACATACGCCCTGGAAGAAATGAACGAATGAACAGTTCTGGAACATAAAAATCAGAATTAGGTTTAAAGGACAATATCATGAAGATCACTTGCCCTGTGGAATTGCTTTTGGATTTTATACTCAGGTTCATTAACTCAGGATTTTCATGTTTTTGTGTGCATTATCTCTAAGATGCAAATTGACTAAAGTATTCCTGTCGTTTAGTACAGGGAAGACCATTTGAAGTGAAAGAAATGTTTCTGGAAGACATCTTAAGAACTACTGGATACACAAACAAAGAGATGTTAAAGTACAAAAAGGAAAAACAACGAGGTAAGCTTTTTATCAAACAAATACTAAAGTACTATTGATACAGTTTTTAGAGTCTTAGACTGTGGAGGTGCAAGGACACTTGAAAGTGTTTTTCCTTTGTATATAATCGTATAATAGTATATTAGAATTCTTTCGCAAGTGTACTTACTACATTGTGGTTTATGCCCATAAATTGTAATCTGTGGAGAGGAATTAACAGTGGATGCCAGGGTTGAGGAGGAGGGTGTCTGTATTCAGAGATGCAACTGGTGTTGTAAGGAGGCAGAAGGGTAGGTGCTGCCCCATCTGTGATGGGCCACGGGAGGTTAAGAGTGCAGTATGCCATAGCAGAGCTCATGGGATGGGAATGTAGTGGGCGGGAAGGATGGAAAAGGGTAGCATGTGAGTAATGACAGTCTCATCTTTCATACAAATGTCAAGTCTTCAAATCTTGATTTTTTTTTTTTTTTTTTTCTGAGAGAGTGATCCTTAGTGAGGGGGCGGAGGCTGTGGAGGGGCAGAGGAAGAGGGAGAGAGAGAATCCCAAGCAGGCTCCACGCCCAGCTTGATCTCACAACCCTGAGATCATGACCTGAGTGGACATTGAGAGTCAGATGCTTAACCAGCTGAGCTACCCAGGCGCCCCTCGATTTTGTTATGAGTTGCATCTGAACTTAGAATTTAGCATTATTTGTCCATTAATACATCTCTTCCCATGACTTAACAGTATCTCTCAGCTTTTGAGTTAGGGTGAGATTCCTCTTTTGCTGACTTGTAACTACATTAATCATGATAGAAGATTTGGCTTCAAGCTTCGATTCCTTTGTTTAGTCTGTATGACCTTGGCCAGATATCTTAAGTTCTTTGGATTCTCCACCTGAAAAAAAGCAGTTAGCAGTGCCTGTTTCACAGAGCAGTGCTGAAGTAGTAATATGCAGATCGTGAAACTAGTAGTTCTCTAAATTTTTGAAGGTGAAGACAGTGTATAACTTTTATCTCAAGCAACTGGCATGGTGTAGAAGTTCAGTAAACTGGTTTTCGCAAACTGCTGTATGAATGTTAGTTGCTAATTTAAGCAGTATTTAGTGTATGGCTAAATACCGTTATTTGAATTTGGACTCACTTAGGAGTAAACTTCTCACTAATAATGTGAACTAGATGTTTTGAAGCAGTTTCATGTGTCCTTAAGGATCAGCGTAACAAATTTTACTAAATGTTTCTTGTTAATGTATTTTGAAAAAGTAACTTCAAAATTAGGCCAACGTTTAAGTATTTTTCAAATTCACTTAATTTTTTTAAACAAAGGCATATATTCCCCCAATTGAAGCTTTTATATGCTTACTCTTTCTTTTGTTATTAATTTAGAAGAGAAACAGCAAACCACCCTTACAGAATGGTATTCGGCTCAAGAGAATACTTTCAAGCCTGAGTCTCAGAGGCAGAGAACTGTTCCCAGTGTGACTGAAGAGTATGATTTATTGGATGACGGTGGTGATGCTGTCTTCAGCCAGTTGGTAAGACCTCGTTGGTTTCACATTGATACTTTGAGTGAAAATGATACAGTTTAAATTAACATTTTATGAGATTGTAATTGTTACTGGATTACTACTGTGTGATTCTCTTAGTTTATCTTAGGCTACAACATATTTTTCAGAACAATTTTTTTTTTTAAAGATTTTATTTATTTGAGAGGGACAGAATGAGAGAGAGAGAGAGAGAGAGAGAGCATGAGAGGGGGAAGGTCAGAGGGAGAAGCAGGTTCCCCGCTGAGCAGGGAGCCCAATACAGGACTCGTTCCCATGACTCCAGGATCATGACCTGAGTTGAAGGCAGTCGCTCAATCAACTGAGCCACCCAGGTGCCCTCAGAACAACTTTCTAATGTACTTTTTTGGGGCAGTTAATGCAGCATCTTTTATTGTTTTATTCTCAGTTTAAATTATTTCAATAAAATACATTTTTTGAGGAAAATAGTTATAGATATTATGCATATACATTATCATTGTCTGATATTTTGTCATCTCAAAAGTTTAAGAACCTGTGAGCTAAACAATGGCTGATAAGCTCAGTTAAGAGAAAATTGAGGAAGGACTGTTGATACTAGAGCATATAATCCACCAACCCACTGTGTGACTTTGTAAAATCAGTTACACACTACAGACCTCAGTCTCTTCTCTGCTCCTTTTCTTTTTTCTGTTTGGCTACAGAATCTTTTACACATGAACTATTTCATGGAAGCCGTGTGTACTCACCCTCAGTGTCCACCCCCATTGGTCGGTGGGGCCTCTGCTACCTTGGGTTTCATGGAATCTGTTTGAAAACTGGAACTAGCTGGTTTCCTAGGCACCTTCGGGTCTTGCATTTTGGCTTAGAAGTCTTTAAAAGGCATTGGTGATGAGTGTGATGCAAACTATTGCTGGGCCCGTGGACTTTTTAGAGAATGTTTAACAGTTTTGAGCATGCGAAGGTACACATGCAGGCCCCTAAACAGATATGTTTTAAGTTCTAATGCGTCCAAATGAACTCTACATGTTCCTAAAAACCCTTGTGCAGAATGTTTAAAAGTTGTTATGTAGTATGGGGAACATCCTTCTGGCTCAGTGAATGGCATTTTGACCAATAAATTCGTGTTTCTTAAGCCTGGCTGTGCCTGATCATCACCTCAGGAACTTATAAAGCCCTGTAGAATGTGGCCTGCATCAGCAGAGGTTCTAACGAACTGGCCGTGGGGTGGGACCTGGCATCAGTGTTGAAAAACACAAGGGGTGGTCCCTCTGGTTTGCAGCTGGGAGGGAGAACCACTGGGGTGGGTATGTTTCACAGCGTTCTGCCAGAAGCACATTTAGATAATATTTTGACTGAATCATACTCCTTTGTTTACAAACCCATTCTTAGATAAAAGATAAATGTTAGAACAAAATACCGTGTTATAAGTGGAATGTTTGTGTTGAGATGAGAAACTTTTATGGTAAAGGTGACGTTGTAACATATGTTTAGTAGTTCTTGTGGCCATTGTGGTCATCTCACATACTTTGCACATAAAGGTTAAACTGTTAGGTAATTTATAATCTTTGCTTTTTTTTTTTTTTTAAAGACAGAAAAAGATGTGAATTGCCTTGAACCATGGTTAATAAAGGAAATGGATGCTTGTCTCTCTGACATATGGCTGCATAAAGATGTTGATGCCTTCGCTCAGGTCTTTCACCTTATTTTAACTGAAAATGTTAGTGGTACGTGTAATTTCTTAAAACATATTTTTATTACTTTTATGGTTATTTATAGTGGAAGTGTAATTTAATTCAAAGTGTATGTACTACATTTTTTTGTTCATAACCAATAATTTGTTCTTTTGGAGTACTTATTCATGTGAACAAATCAGGATCTTATTAGCATAGTAGAATAAATAAATATTTGTTGTGTTAAATCAGGGATTCTTTTTTTTTAAAGTAAGTTCTATACCCAATGTGGGGCTTGAACTCATGACCCTGAGATCAAGAGTCCCATGCTCTACCAGCTGAGTCAGTCATGTGCCCCTAAATCTTGGGATTCTTAATCCAGTTGTCTCCAGAAGGGTTATATGGGGTCTGTGAATATATGAGTTATGTGCAGAAGTCTTTTTATGTATATGTATTTTGCATATAAATATACTCCCCTTCCCTCCCACAGGAATATCTTGGATTTTTAAAGTAATTTGCAATTTCAAAAAAGGAAGGAAAAGAAAGGTTAATAACTTTGCTTTGGATTTTGTATTTAGTGAATGGAGAATTTCAACCTACCTTTAATTATATAGCCCTCAAGTACAAATTCATATGCATATGCTTTATGTCATATGATGTGTTTTCACTAATGACCTATCCTGATTTTATTAGTTGATTATGGTGGATATTGGTAATAACCAGAGGTCAGTTTCAGGGCCCTGAAGGCTTCTAGGCAAAAGACAGAATAAAAGACCATAGAAGGTCAGTACTGAAAAGGATTTAGATGTCCCCTCACTTAAACTTCTCAGCATTATTTTTATTAAAATTATTATTGATCACACCTTTCTTGAAATATTTTCTTCAGGGGCACCTGGGTGGCTCAGTGGGTTAAGCCTCTGCCTTCAGCTCAGGTCATGATCTCAGGGTCCTGGGATTGAGCCCCGCATCGGGCTCTCTGCTTAGCAGTGAGCCTGCTTCCTCCTCTCTCTGCCTGCCTCTCTGCCTACTTGTGATCTCTCTCTCTCTCTGTCAAATAAATAAATAAAATCTTAAAAAAAAAAAAAAAGAAAGAAACATTTTCTTCAGTTAACCTCTAATATTCCATGCTTGGTTTATTTTCTCCTTTCTTGTCTCCCTCGCTGGAACTTCTTGGTTTCTTTGGCAGAATTTCCCCCTTTTTCCTAACTTCTAAATATGAAATGGCCCAGACCTCAATCCTTTGGTGTTGCTTTTATTTATACTTACATCTTATGTGGATCTCATCTAGTTGTTGTTTTTAAATATTTATTCAAGATGACTCCTAATTTTACTGTTCCAGTCCTGACCTCCCCCTGACCTGATCACTTGACATCTCCCCTTGGGGGTCTGTTAGGTGAATAAAACTAGATATGCCCCAAACAACTTTTGGTTCCCTTCTCACTTCGCTCCTGACCTGCCTTTTCCTTAGTGTTTCTTAAGTGATCATAATCGGTTGTAGACTTCTTTAAAAAATTCATGTGCCTGGCCATCCCAGACTTTTTGAAACTGAATTTTCACCTGGTTGCTGAGGCAACAAAACATGAAATAAGTCATTAAAAAAAAACGGATTTTACTTATTTAATTTGAGAGAGAGAGCTCATGTGCTGGGCATGGCTGGGAAGGGGCAAAGGGAGAGGGAAAGAAAAACAGACTCCGCACTGAACCGGGAGCCTTATGTGGGGCTCCATCTTCACGACCCTGGCATCATGACCTGAGCTGAAGGCAGACGCTTAACCAACTGAGCCATTCAGGTGCCCCATAAAGCTGTTCTTGACTTTGTTTTCATACTCCACATATCCATTTGCAAGACCTAATGGTTTTACCTTCTAATTGAATCCTGAATCTGACCCCATTTCACTCCTCCTCCTGCTGCCATTCTAGTCCAAGCCAACATTTCCCTCCAAGGATGATTACTGAAGCCTGTGAACTGCTTTTATTCTTAAGTCATTCTGGTCTGTTCTCCAGAGAACAGTGAGAGTTACCCTTTCAAAAAAACTGGCATCATGCTACTTCCCTTCTTTCCACTCTCCCGTGGCTTTCAGTTACACTTTGAGTAAAAATCAGATCTTTTTCCCTGATTGGGTTTCTCTAACTGCCTTTTGGACCTCATTTTCTACGACTGTGGACCTTTTGCCACTACTACCTCCTTGCTCTTCTTCACGTGTCAGCACATTCCGACCTGGGGGCCTTTGCTTTGGTTGTTTCTTGTGTGTGGAGTGCCATCCCCACAGATGATCATGCGGCCCAACGTCTACTTCATGTAGGTCTCTGCTTGGGTCTTGCCTTCTCAGCAAGGCCTCTTTGGGGTCATTTTACTGAAATTGGGCCCTTTCTCTCACTCTTCCTCCGTTCCCCGCTGTATTATTCACTATTGTACTTTCATTGCCTGACAGTGTATATTTTTAATTTTTCTTACTCTCTTACTCTCTCTTACTCTGTCTCATCCACTGGAATGTAAACGACACGAGGTGGAAACCTCGTTTGTTTTACTCATCTCTTATCCCCAAAGGTTTTTTAGCAAGTGCCCAATAAATATTTGTTGAAAAATGATACAACTTCTAAGGATCCTACCAAATGATTCATCTATTTGAATATGTGATAGGAATATGTGATAGGAAGCTCACTACCTTCCTTTGGGACACTTTTTTCAAATTTGGTATCTTTTAACCGCTAATTTTTTTATATGTTTTGAAGAGTGAAGTGAAATCTACCTATATAGCTTCTACCCTCTTCTGCCTTTGGGGTGATATTGAGGAGATTTAGTATCTGTTTATGCCTGACAGACCTTCAGGTATGAAGATAGTTATTCTTCCTGCTTTCTCATTTTCTGGGCTGACCAGACCTGACTTCGTCTGTTTGTCTTTAACGTGAGATGCAGTTTAGTCTTCTCCTGCCGTTGTCTGCCTTCTCTGGTTATGTGGAGTTTGTCCCTTTTAAAAAGCATGCTGTCCTTTCCTGAGTGTTAATCTTAATGACTACCTTCAGGTTGAGTAGGTCCATCAGCCTAAAAACCTCTACTTTTTACCTACAGTAATTCAGCCTATGGTCAGTATAGCTCTTTGCCATCCACATTGTCTTACTGATTCATACCACCTTTGAAACTTGTAGTTCTTTTTTTTTTGTTTAACAACTGATTTTAATAAATGAATCCCTCCCATCATTTACTTGTTCTGATTTTTTTTTTTTTTTTAAGTTTAAGACTTTCTGTTTGTTCTTTTTAAATCTCATAATTAGACTTGGCCCATTGCTTTTGTTTCACAACTCCCCCCCACCCCGAGTCTAATTGTTACCTAATATATTAATAAACTTTCTCAGTTTATGAACTCAAGAGGCCTGGGTCACTGACCAAGTGCTGTGTATGCTTTAGGTCAACATTTGGGTGTGGTTGTTCAAGTGGTTATAATTCCATTCATCTACTAATCTAGCAAACCTCTTAAGAAGGAAAGGAAGATCTTTTGGCCTTTCTTGTTTTTGTTTTTTTTTTTTTTCAAGATTTTTGTTCATTTATTTGACAGAGAGAGAGTGAGAGCACATAAAGGCAGAACAGCAGGCAGAGGGAGAAGCAGACTCCCCACTAAGCAGGGAGCCTGATGCAGGATTTGATCCCAGGAGCCTGGGATCATGATCATGACCCTGTGCCGAAGGCAGTTGCCTAACCGACTGAGCCACCCAGGCGCCCCATGGTCTTTCTTATTCTTTGTAAATTTATTTTGGTTTCTATTGCTCTATTTTTTTCTAGCTTATTGGTTATTAAATAATCTATCTGTATTTTGAAATTTTTTGTATTTGGAAATGTTGATATTTGTTCATCTCCAGTTTTCTGGCAGTCTTTTTTTTCTCCCACAGAAAAAAGCTTAGCCATCTTAATTGAAAGTTAAGAAAATTTGAGCTCTGAGGCATGTTGCTTTAAAATATTTATATACTTATGAAGCATTAATGTATTATTCTTGACCTTTTTTTTTTTTTTTGAAAGAGAATGAGAGAGAGAGAGAGCATGAGAAGGGGGAGGGAGAGAGGGAGAAACAGACTCCCCACCGAGCAGGGAGGGAGTCCGATATGGGACTCCATCCCAGGACTCCAGGATTATGACCTGAGCAGAAGGCAGTTTCCCAACCAACTGAGTCACCCAGGAACCCTATTCTTGACCTTCTTCCTAGATATTTCTCTAGTGTATACTAGGCTGTTACTTTGATGTCATCATCCTATGGATCCAGGTTCCTCATCTCTTTTTTCTCTTTTAAAGATTTTGTTTTTAAGTAATTTTTTTAAAAGATTTTATTTATTTATTTGACAGAGATCACAAGTAGGCAGAGAGGCAGGCAGAGAGATAGAGGAGGAAGCAGGCTCCCTACTGAGCAGAGAGCCTGATGCAGGGCTCGATCCCAGGACCCTGAGCTCGTGACCTGAGCTGAAAGCAGAGGCTTTAACCCACTGAGCCACCCAGGCGCCCCTGTTTTTAAGTAGTTTCTATACCCAGCATGGGGCTCGAACTTACAACCCCGAGATCAGAGTCACATGCTCTACTGACTGAGCCAGCTAGGTGTCTCTGGGCCACTCATCTTTATAAGTGTTTCACTGGACATTTTCTTTATCCTTCCTTCCTTCCTTCCCTCTTGCCTTCCTTCCTTCCTTTTTTAGATTTTATTTTTTTATTTGTCAGAGAGAGAAATAGAGAGGACAAGCAGAGGAGGCAGCAGGCAGAGGGAGAAGCAGACTCCTCACTGAGCAGGGAGCCTGATGTGGGGCTCCATCCCAGGACCCAGGGATCATGACCTGAGCTGAAGGCAGACGCTTAACTGACTGAGCCGCTCAGGCCTCTCTCACTGGATGTTTTCTAGAGTGCAGTATTTTTTTTTTTTTTTAAAGATTTTATTTATTTATTTATTTGTCAGGGAGAAAGAGAGAGAGATGGAGAGCACAAGTGGGTTCCCTGCTGAGCAAGGAGCCCAGTGTGGGACTTGATCCCAGGACCCCTGGGATCATGACCTGAGCCGATGGCAGATGCTTAACCCACTGAGCCACCCAGGCATCCCTAGAGTGCAAGATTCTAATGTCTGAAGCTGTGTGAAGTAAACAAAATGCTATGGTAGCTCTTTGAACAGTTCCCATCTTTTTATTTCTCTTCTAAAATCTCAACCCTAAATTGGCACCAGAGTTGAAAATGCTTCATGTAATCCAGGAAACCTCCTACTTTGCAGGTTTCTTTTTAATGCTATCAATTTCTCCATGGAATCCTGTGGAAGCCCCTAGTAATTAGTGAGACAGGCATTCTCTGTCATGCTTACTGTGCTAGTCCTCTATTGTTGCATGACAAATGAATGATTCCCAGCCTTAGCAACCTCAGTCATTTGTTGTCTCACATTGTTCCTGAGACTCAAGAATCTGAGACCTGTTCTGGCTTCTAGTGACAGATAAAGTAGTAGTGGAGCTCTTGTCTGAGGCTTTGGTCGTCTGAAGGTTCACGGGAGCTGCGGGGTCTGCTTCCGAGAGGCTCACTCAAGTGGCTGTTGGCAAGAGGCCTCAGGTCGTCTCGTCTCCTCTTTTGGCAGAAGGCCTCAGGTCTTGCCATCCAGACCCGTTCATAGGGCTGGCTGTCTAATCTTCCCTGGATGTGGCAGCTGGCTTCTTTCTGAGTGAGTGAGTCAAAAGAAGGAGAGAAAGCAAGCAGGAAGCCATACGTACCTTTTAGAGTGAATCATTTGGTTTAGCTCATACTCAAGAAGGGAACTTAGACTCTACCTCTGGAAGGGAGGAGTACTAAAGAATTGTTGGATGTTTTAAAAACACCCACACTTAGTCATACCCTGCTGCTCAAAATACACACATTTTGGTTCTTTTCTCCACGGCTATCAAATGAATATTCAGCTGAAGCAGTAATTCTCATATAGTGAGTACAGATCATAATCTTTTCAGTCCATTTTAAAACTACATGTTCCTGGCCATCCCACACCTACTGACTCTGACTCTAGGAGTTAGTCCTGGCTGTCTGTGGTTTCAGAAGTAAGGAACCTGAGGTAATTCTCTTGTAAGTCCTCCCCACTTGAAAAACCACTGACTTATATTAATAATGATTACCAAGTTTTAGAGTATTATTAAACATTGAGGATGATTGGGTATCTATGGAAAATTAAAATTGCCCATTTGCGATTATCTTAAATTTTACTGCAGAGTTTTTTTTTTCCAGTGATGATTTCTTTTTAAAATCACCAATTTTGTAGTTTAAGCAGACCAGTGCTAAGTGATTATAATAGATTGCATTTCTTGAGAAATATATTCTAGGAAGGAAATTAAATTCAGTAGAACTTTAATTATTTTTCTCATGGAGGGCTTTTATGGGAAGTAAACTTTCTGCCAATGTTATTTCCATTAAGCATCTCAGAAAGTAACAGTCTGGAATGATGGGGGAATAAAAGCAAAACAAGAACAACAGAAAATGGTCTTGGACTTTGCATTTGCAGTCTTAAGCATTCTTTTCCAGTTACTGATGAACCTTAACTTTTAATTTTTTAATTATATCTTGTCATTTGGTGATCAAGACAATATCTGGGCTAGGAAGATTATTTAAGGGTTCTGCAAGTTACTAGCCTTCCTCTTCCGTTCTCATTACCCTGGTGAGCTTGAGACAGCTGAACAACTATCTCTTGTTCTCCTACCTTCCAAATGGTCATCCCTCTTCCACCCTGTTTAGACTAAGGGTGCATTAATAATAGATCTGCGTCCAGGGTAATGTAATGCTGTTACAGTGTTGTTGGATGAAGGAGCCAGTCCCAGGTTGATTGTCCTGACACTTATTTCTTTCATTTAAGTTAAAAAGGAATGAAAATGATCGAAAAGTTTGGAAATATAACCTGCATTTGTCTTTTCCTTGCTTTAGTTGATTACAGGCATAGCGAAACCAGTGCAACAGCCCTCATGGTTGCTGCAGGGCGAGGTTTTTCAAGTCAAGTAGAGCAGTTAATTAGCATGGGAGCCAACATTCACAGTAAAGCATCGAATGGCTGGTAATTATAAACCACATCCCTTCTTGCTGTGTCTCTGTACAGCTCCGCATACCGGTTTTGATTTCTTGTGTTTGTCTTTGTACTAAAAGCTATTGTGTAATAATTGCTGGTCCATCTCTAATGGGTGAATGAATCCTTTGACTCATTTTATAAATTTGAGAACATTATTTCTCTGTCTAAATTTGATCTCTTTTTTACAAATTTTTTATTTTATTTACTTATTTATTTATTTAAAATTTGATCTCTTTGAATTTTGGCAGGATGGCTTTAGATTGGGCCAAACACTTTGGACAGACTGAAATAGTGGATCTTCTGGAATCATACAGGTAAAACTTTATACTGTGTTTAATTAACCCTGATTTTTTTTTAAAGGCTTAACCATGTAAATGACAGCGTATGACAAGGTAGGCTATAGTCTCTTCTGCAGAGATTTTCTTTTTTCTTTTTTGAATTCTAAGGAACTTTTGTCTGATTTTGTTATTTTTTGTTTTTGGTAGGGTGCCAGTAAGATCCAGTGTTATAATACTTTATTTTATTTCAGTTTGCAAAGCAGAAGGGGGATTTTCAGTTAAACATTGTAGATACAACACATGTAATTTATCTTTGCATTTTCCTAAAACCTCATTGAAATGGTAAGGAAGGATTATAAAATGTGTAAGCTAACAAAGTCGAAGAGATTGGAAGAGGACACAGCAACTGGTGGAAGATAGGAGTAAACTTTTGGGTAGTAGAAGGCTAATGGATCAGTGGTGTTTGACTTAGCAGAGCTGAGAAAATGGAAAGCTCAGTGCAGAGAAGTCAGTGCCAGTGAGAAACCAGCTCATTTTAGCTTCTTAGAGGTTCAAAAACCCACCCAGAATTGATTGAAATTCTCTCCGAGGAACATTCAGAATTCCGGATTTCCACCTCTCCTACCATTAGCTGAGATCTCCCTTCCCTACCTTGGCAGAGAGTGGGAAGTTTATTAAAAAATTAAGCCACATGAAGCTTTGGACTTGGGTCCCATCAAGCACAGAGGGAGAATGGGAGTGAGGTATCAAAGAGTAAGGTCCCCCGACAGACTGAAGGTTGAGATTCCATCCGCTCCCTTCCGCTGCTGTCCCTGTCGCCGTTTCCTGTTAGAAGCTTACATTCTTCAGCAGAAAATGGGAGAATTCTTTCCTGGGAAAACAGACCAAGCCGACAGAAAAGAATTAGAATTATGGAACTTTTGGTATTCTTTTCATTGAAATGACTATCTTTAAGCCACATAGCTTGACAGTTGCTGCCTGTGCACACGGACGTTTTGGGTGCCTTCTCTTTGAAGACTAACAAACTGCCAGGCACCTTTGAGGGGAAAAGTACCCACGATCAAACAACAATGGCAACAAAAAACCCTGGAACTTTGATGGGCTGCGCATCAGTAATCAGAAGAAAACTTCAAAAGCTAATAGAAAATACTCATAAAACAGAAACAATGTGTTATAAAACAGGAACAGAACACAAATCTTTATTCAGATTTTATCTTCATGAGGGTTACCTAAATTTATCCTGTTGTTGTAGTTTACCCTCTTGTGCTGTTGATCCTTCTCAACCTACTCTGTTTTTCCTTTTGTCTGCAGGACCTGTCACCCTCTGACACATTTTTTTTTCTTTTTTTAAAAATTAAATTCAATTAATGAACATACATTGTATTTTTAGTTTCAGAGGTAGAGTTCAGTGATTCATCAGTTTTTTTTGTTTGTATTTTTATCTTTATTTTTTTAGAACTTATTCATATTTTCAAGATTTTATTTGAGAGAGAGAGTGTGTGTGCGCATGTCTCTCTAGTGAGAGAGACAGGGAAAGTGAGCGTGAGCAGGCGGGAGGGACCGAGGGAGGAGGAGAAGCAGGCTCCCTGTTGAGCAGAGAGCCCGATGCAGGGCTCAGTCCCAGAACCGTGACATCATGACCTGAGACAAAGGCAGAGGCTTAACCCACTGAGCCACCCAGGTGCCCATCATCTTATTTTTCTTTTTTAGTGTCTTTTTCTTTAAAAATTTCAATTCAATTAATTAACATGTAATATATTATTGGTTTCAGAGGTAGAGGTCAGTAATTCATCAGTCTTGTATAATATCCAGTGCTCATTACATCACGTGCCTTCCTTAATGTCTGTCACCCAGATACCCTATCCCGTAAACCCCCTCCCCTCCAGCAGCCCTTTGTTTTCTATGATTAAGAGTCTCTTGTGGTTTATCTCTGTCTCTGATTTCATCTTGTTTTATTTTTTTCCTCTCTCCCTATGATCCTCTGTCTTGTTTCTTAATTTCCATATATGAGTGAGATCATATATGTATAAATTTGATTTAAAAAAAAAAAAGATTCGGACAATACTTTCAAATGCAATGAAACAAATCATTTATTTAGGTAATTAAAGGTTTTGGCGAAAGTTAGGTTAGATATTTAGATAGATATGTAGATCTTAGATTAAATATCTAAAGAAAAGAAAAAGGTAATTTTAAAAGAAAATATATCCAAAGAAAATATGTTTTATAATACGTTGATAGCACTTTGTTTTCAACCTATAAGAATCAAAAAAGATAAAAATGAAACTGAAGTTAAAATATACTAAAATATCTTTTACACAAGAATATAAAAATGTTTTATTTGAGTTGAGGTTTTGGATTTTATTCTATAGATAATAGTCTCAGGTGAAGTGAATGTTTGAAGTATGAAGTTAGTCTTGTTATTTTAATTTCATTAAATGATAATGAAGGTTAGAGTCACAAAGTTCTTAACAGACCCAAATGCTAATTATGGTATGCCAGATTTTGTTGTCATTTCAATAATAGCACCCAGAACTTGCAGTCCTTTTTGACATTGATGCTTTGAATGTTCCAGACGTTCTTAGGGTGCTGGGAATAGCTCAGTAGACACTACAGATTATCAAGTAGCAGTGATCTGGATAGTATTCTAATTATCCTGCCTAACTGGGCTTTCTTTTTATTCTGCGGATCATGACATCATCAATTACAAATTTCAAATATTTAAAATTAAATTTATGATGTTTGCAGGATTACTGATAATTGATAAGTAAAGTTAGAGCTTTATTTTTTTTTAAAGATTATTTGAGAGAGAGAGGAAGAACACAGAGCAAGGGAGAAAGTTGGGGGGGGAGGGGCAGGAGGAGAGGGAGAAGTGGGCTCCCTGCTCATGGGGCTTCATCCCAGGACCCTGCTGATCATGACTTGAGCTGAAGGCAGATGCTTAATTGACTGACCCACCCAGGGGCTCCTAAAGTTAGAGCTTTAAACAAAGGACATTGTACCCTCTTCATTTACCTGTTAAGAAGTAAGAAAAAAAATTTGGGATGTTTTAAAATGAATCTTAAAATTTAAAATAACTGCAGTTAGAATTTTAATATTTTAAAATATTAAATATTAAATATTAGTTATTTTTCTGCTAAGCTCTTTGGAAGAAATTGGGCAGAACTGAACTTCTTAGAAATCTTAGTGATAGTTACTAGTGATGGCAGAAGGTTACATTTTTACATATGGGATGAAAAAGCAAGCTGTTATTTCAGTAATTTATGCTGATTTAGGGCTTTTGGAAGATAGCATAATCAATCTGCTTTTAATTTGGAATAACCAAATTGGCAGTCATGTTAAGCTGGCACCTGTAGAATTGTTTTAAATGTAGACTTTGCTTCAGAGTATTGTTGATAAGAGTGAACAATTAGAAACAACCTATTAAAAAAGTGCAAATGATGATCAAAGGTTTGTGTATTTTAAGTTTTATTGAGATAAAGTTTTATTTAATAAAAAATAAAAAAATAAAAAATAAAAATTAAAAAATATTTAAATAAAAATAAAGTTTTATTTAATAAAAAATAAGTTTTATTGACAACCATGTAATTGATCCTTTTGAGTGTACAATTCAGTGGCTTTTAGTGTGTTTGCCTTGTTATGAATTTTTTTTTCAAGATTTTATTTATTTATTTATTAAGAGAGGGCAAGCAGAGGGAGGGGAGAAGGTGAGGGAGAGGGAGATCTTGAGCAGACTCTGCACTGAGTACGGATCTCAACGACCCTGAGATCATGACCTGAGCTGAAACCAAGAGTTTGACGCTCAACCAGCTGAGCCACCCAGGTCCCATGTTATGCAGTTATTATGATAATAATTTTGAGAACATTTTCATCACCACTGCCCAAAAATTCCTGTAATCATTAGCAGGCACTCCTCATCTTCCCCAGCTCTTCCAGCCCTAGGCAACTAGTCTGCTTCCTGTTTCAATAGATTTGTCTATTCCATACACTTGATCTAAGTGGAATGATATAATACGTGGTCTTTTTATGATCGGCTTCTGTCATAGCATGATGTTTTCAAGGTTCATCCATTCATGTTCTAACATCCTTTCTGACTTGAGTTATACTCTGCTCTGTGGCTAGATCACAGTTTGTTTAACCATTCTTCAGTTGATGTACATTTGGGTGGTTTCCACTATTTGGCTGTTATGAATAATACTAGTGTGAACATTTGTGTATACCAGTTTATATAAACATATATTTCATTACTCTTGTTTATAAACCTAGGGGTGGAATTGCTGGGGCATCTGGTAACACTGTGTTTAACATTTTGAGGAACGGCCACATTGTTTTTCGAAGTGACATCATCATTTTATGTTCCCACTAACAATGTGTGATGGTTACAATTTCTCCACACCCTCTTTAATACATATTATCTTCTGTCTTTTGATTATATTGTCATCCTACGTGTGAAGTGGTATCTCACTGTGGTTTTAATTTTCATTTCTCTGATACGTAATGATGTTGAACATCTTTTCAATGTGTTTATTGGCCATTTGTATGTTTTCTTTGAAAAAGTATCTTCAGATTGTGTTTTCGAAAAGCACTTATTGATAGATTTTACTTTGGATAATGTAGGTAGGTGTAAGCCAAAGCATGAATTGTAGCTAGGATGTTAAGTATCATTTACCCTCCTTAGGGTATATTCAAAATTTAAAGAAGGACATCATGGGAATATGATTCCAGGATTACTGTTTTTGATGAAAATTGAGTTGGTCATTTTTTTTTCCTTTTTTTTAAGTGCTTCACTGGAGTTTGGAAATCTAGATGAAAGTTCTCTGGTTCACACAAACGGAAGTGACCTCAGTGCAGAAGACAGAGAGCTCCTGAAAGCTTATCATCACAGTTTCGATGATGAAAAAGTAGACTTGGATTTGATCATGCACCTTCTTTACAATATCTGTCATGGTTGCGATGCTGGTAAATGAGTATTGTCTAAAATAACTTGAACAGCAAAGTGTACTTCAATTTCCAAGATAATATTTTGTGTGTACAGATTTTTACAGAATTCCATTGGCAGTACTGCATAAGTAATCTCTTAACTGTCTAAGTATTACACTTTATCAGTATTTCAAAACTAGTGATATAGCTCATCATAGCTGGGCCTGTCGATAGTTTCTGGTTTGTAAAGCCAGAGATTTAATATTTTATTTTATTTATTTTAAAAGATTTATTTATTTGAAAGGGAGACAGAGAAAGAGAAGGAGCAGGGGGTGGGGTAGAGGAAGAAGGAGAAGCAGGCTCCCCCAGGATCCCAGGATCATGACCTGCACTGAAGGCAGCTGCTTAACTAAGCCACCCAGCTGCCCCGAGATGTGATTAAAAAAAAAAATCCTTGTTTTCCAAGGTGCAATATTAATTTTCCTACCTGGATATGATGAAATTGTTGGACTGAGGGATCGCATCCTGTTTGATGACAAGCGGTTTGCTGACAACACACATAGGTAAAAGCTAAAGTTTTATGTTGTTGCTCTAAGTAACTGATAGGTACTATAGTGTATTTTCCCTTTCCGTTGTCAACAGATACCAAGTCTTTATGCTTCATTCAAATATGCAAACGTCAGATCAAAAGAAAGTATTAAAAAACCCACCTGCCGGTGTTCGAAAAGTAGTAAGCTTCATACAGTTTTCTTTCGTTCATTTCAATAGCCGTTGGTCCTGTATTCATACTAACCGTGATGTCACATCCCCTTGCAGATCCTTTCCACCAATATTGCTGAAACCAGCATCACAGTCAACGATGTGGTCTTTGTTATTGATTCTGGTAAGGTGAAAGAGGTATGTGTGGATAAGTTGTATTTTGTTTAAATGAAGAGGGTTAAGTTACATTCCAATAAATGGTTTTATGATTCATTTTAATTAGAAGATGGTTCTGCATGAATTTAATATAGTAATTGTTGATTTCTCCAAAGTGAATATTTTGCCATAAGCCGTTCAGAATGTAGGATCTAGTTATTGTAACAGATTATACAAAAATAAAAAACAAAACAAACTAGCTTCTGCTGATTAAATACTAGGAAGAATGTAAAGGGTTGGCTAATTGCACTGAAAGTTTTGTCACTGTATGGGAATTGGATTACATGTTTTGTATGCTTTCCTTCTTTCCTTCTACATATGGGCATGGAACATGTCCCTCTTGTTCAGAGTTAATCTCCAGGGCTCCACATGTAGTGGGTATTCAAAAGACATTTCGTTCAAGAGAACCGTCCTGAGACAGTGCGAGCAGTCAGACCGGACTTCAGCAGATGCCAGTTCGCAGGCACATGGGCCCAGCACCTGCTTTTATAAAAATAAATATCACTGAACACTGCCCTGTTCACTCTTTTGTCTCTTGTCTGTGGCCACTTTCACACTGCAACTGGAAGAGTTGCAACAGCGACCCTCTACAAAGGCTAAAATATTTACTGCCAGCCCAGATATAAAGAAAAGACAATATTTATTTTCTGTTAGCACTGGGATGCTCAGCAGTTCTCAATACCCTTCACTTTGGTGGATCCTTTCATGGAAAGAATGGAAAGTGATTGTGGAAAGCAAATGATGTCTGTTATAGTGGATAGCAATGATCATGTTTTAATGTGGGAAAATTTGTTAATTGCTTTTTAATGTTTTCAATGTAATTTTTAGGAATATCTTACAGAAAACAAAATTTTATTATAAAATTTGGACATTTCAGTATAGTTGGGTATTATAAAGAAGAGATATGTTTTATTTTTTTATCAGAGGTTAATGATGAATATTATCACAAGGTCTGAATGGTGAGTCAATGAAAATTCAGATTTTATTGCCCTGATTATCTAAAGCTGATGAAGTAGATTTTGAATATCTTAGAAATTAATTCCTATAGGTGTCTTTTATCAAGTAAACCATGGTTTGGAACATGATGGTAGTGTCAGAAGTTATTTTACATACAAAACTGACAAATATGACATTTTATTAAAAACCAAATAAGTAGCATCTTTTCTAAAAATCCCATAATTAAACTATTATAAGAACACATTTGTATTTGCTCTATTTAGTTACTTTATGAAAGGGAAAGTATAAGTCACTGAATGATTAAGTGTATATTTTAGTTAGGAATGCATTCTTTTAAAATCTCTACAGTCAATTTTGGCTTTAGATTGTTTAGGGAATATAGAGGTAATAATGGTTCTTTACTTTCTCTTACAACATTCTGGTTAGGCTAACTGTTCGTAGCTCAGCAGGGGGTAAAATGTAAAGGAGTAAAAATTCTTCACTTTGGGGATAGGATTGGTTCAGTGATTATTGTTATTCCTCCATATCAGCTCCCTGGCACATATTTTAGAAACTGTCTTTCTCTGATCATTCCTATTCTTCGTGGTGATAGAAATCTGATAGGAAATGACCTCAAGAGAATAGATTTTTCTTCAGTCTTGATGTCTATGAGTACTGACTACTGTTATTCAAGTGTAGCAGAGAGGAACAAATAACTAAACAAGGCAGGGAATGAGGAAGTTTTTATAGCTCGTCTGAGTTTATTTTTCATTCTTTTTACTTAGAATGTTTGTAACCAGAGATGGGGATTTTTTTTTTTTTTTTAAATCTGTGCCCCATCCTAAATATCTAATCAAAAGGGGCCTTGAATTAAACTTGGCATGTTAAAATATATTCATAATACTTCTTGCTATTTCTTCTTAAACACCTTTTATAAATGTTTTAATATGAAGATAACTTAAATATTACAGAAATCCTTTGATGCACTGAATTTTGTTACAATGTTAAAAATGGTGTGGATTTCCAAAGCTAGTGCCATACAACGAAAAGGCAGGTAATGTATATTTAATGTACATTCATTCACTCAATTGCCTATAAAATGGAAACATTTTGATATGTATTACATATTTAATGTATATTCTGCTTTCTATATAAAATGTTAACATTTTCATGTTAGTCTTAATTCTTACCTTTTTTTTGCAAGGCAAGCCATTTCAATAATTTCTTTAAAAGTTGAATTCAGGTTATGTTAAAAATTTTTGACTAGTATAATCTGTCCTCAGAAGATGTAAGAAACTTAAAAAACAAAATTGAAAGGAAAATAAACATTTGCAGTATAGGACAAAGGGCTAATTGCTATATTATGCAAAAAGCTCTTTAAAATCAGTTCATAAAGACCAACACGTTAACCTCACATACACCACCTCATATATGCCAGAATAAGTGCAAATTAATGAGGAAATTTTTTTGCTTATCACCAGATTGGCATTGATGAAAACGTTTAACGGTACCTACAACAGAGTTGGCCAAAGCGTGGGCTAATAAGCTTTCATAGTTTGCTGATGGGAGTGTAAACTGCTGTGACTTCTTCAGAGGACAGTTTGAAACTGTTTATCCGAATCTCCCCTTTGCCGGTGGATTCCACTTCTCGTAGTTTATCCTGAGTGTACCTGTGCATGTGCCCAGACGTGTGTTGAAGAATGTTTTCCGCAGCACTGTTTGTAATAGTGAACTCTCTGGAAGTTTTGTAGTTAAATAAATTATGCGATAGTTGTGCAATGGTATATTAGACTATGACAGTGAAAGATGTGGATGTATGTATTGTTATGTGCAATGAGTTCTCTGAATATATTATTAATTGAAAAAAGTAAGGTGTACAACATGCATCTATAGTATTTGTACTTAATATATATGTAGTGCTAAATAAATATATATGTATGCATATATATATTTAGGGCAGAAATGCACTGACAGATTTGAGAGAAACATTAAAAAACAATTGTTGACTCTGAGAAGGAGGATTTATGGAACTCTTTGAAGGAAGGAGGATTTAATTTTTTTTTTTGTAGTTTGGTTATTTATTTTAGTATGTACTTGCATTACTTTTTCTTTTAAAAAAAAGGAAGATTTAAAAGTATCCTATTTATCAGTAATCATTTGACTAATTTTTCTTGCATTTTAATAGGAAAATATCTGATACTGACTTTAAAGCAGTGGCTCATGTGCTGAAGCTGGTGGATGCATTATTTCTGTACTTTATAATTTCATGGAATGTTCTTGAAGGCATTTGCTATTACCATACCAGTTGTTTTCCTATGACAGGGTGTGGCTTGATAACTCTAGCTAAAGTTAGTTAGTAATATTCCATCTCTTCATCGTGTTTACCTCTTAATCGTGTTTACCTCTTAATTGTATATTATCCAGGAGGAAAATCAGAAATTGTAGGAATTTTCCTTGTCATTTTTTTCAGCCTATTTCTTTTGACAGCCATTACTGTGCAAGTGTTAGGGATGCAACGATGAATAAAATGTAGTCTGATGAGTCAGGTTTGTGGTGGGGGAATGGTGCAGTCCATCCTGGAATTCAGTAAATTAAGCAATTTTAATACCATGTGATTTGTGCTACAACTGGATAATGCTTCTGGAGGAGTGAGGGTAGAATCTGAGATAAAAACAAATGAAGAGGTGTTTTGAAAAGGCTTTTCTAGCAAAGGCGAGGCACGCACAAAGGCCTACAGGCAAGAGTGAACAACAAAGTTGTCTGGATGGAGTTTAGTTTAGAGGAGAATAGTGAAAAAAATAAGTAAGTTGTAGACATGTCCTTAAGGATCATTTTGTGTTTCCTCTCTCTTTTTCTTCTTAATAAACCAAAGGACGGCATGATTTTAGTATTTTCATCTCTTTGAAGAATGAATTGGTAGAGACAAAACTGATGGCAGGAGGACCCAGTAAGAGGCTCTTTCATTAATACTTGGAATTTACAAAAAGGGAGAGGTGACGATAGTCTGGATTGTGATAGCGGTGTTAGAAGACATTAAGGAGAGCATTATTGGGGCAAGAGTGTGTCCAGGGGCAAGGAATAGTGTGGAGTCAAGGATGTCATACAGGTGTCTGTCTTAGAAACTTGTGTGGATGGTGGTGCCCTTGTCAGGGGAAATGGGAATAGCGGTTATGTTGGTGAGAAGAATTAATCTTTGGTTGTGTTGAGCTTGGGTTGGCTAGAAAATCCAAGTGGAGCTAAGAGGCTTCTGAAGTATGGGTGTAGGGTTAGGGTGAAGAGATCTCAGTGGATGAAAATTAAAGTCAGGAGGATAATTACGATCCCCTTGGAGTGGGGATGGACTAGGAGAGCAGAGGGCTGAGGTCCAGCCTCACAGGAACATTGACATTTAAGGACTGGCGAAGGATGGAAATGTCTCAGAGAAGGCTGGGTAGGAGGGAAAGCAGATGGGTTGATAGTGAGGACAGTACTGATGAAGAAAGCAGTGCTCCAACGTCTCATTTTGTCACTTGTAGCACAGTGTGTTGTAGCTTTGTGACAGGAGGGATATTTCTGGATCTCTATCGCTTAGCGTGTTCAGCCTGGCCATTAGCTGATACAGTGACTCTGGGGGAAATGAGGAGAGGCTGCTTTTCTTTAAGATATTTCTCTCCTACTTCCCAGAAAGTGATACAAGTCTCTCTGGTGACAGGAACTGCCACTCCCTGGAGTTATGTAATGCTTACTTTGCATAGCTCTGAGCTGTGGGCTTGTGCACGGTGCTTGTGTCAGTTGAGTAAAGCAGATGAAATGTCAATTACCGTGTATTTTTTCATTATTTTTACTCACTTTCATGTGTATGTCACTTACAAATTTGTTTTTATCATTACCTTAGTAGGTGTATCAGGTAGGTGTCATTCGTAAGTTTTTATGAATGATGCCTAGACAAGTGACGTGCCTTCTGGAAAGATTCAGGAGGGAATCACAGTCAGCTGTCCTGACACTGGTCCATTGCTCTGTCTCCTAAAGCACACTGCTTTTAGAGTTGCCGTGGTCTAGTCTTTATTCCTTGTTTGAAGCTTAATTTTTTATTTCACTTTTAAGGGCAGGGAGATGCAGACCTGGAATTTGTTTCCGGCTGTTCAGTAGACTCCGATTCCAGAATATGTTGGAATTTCAGACTCCAGAACTTTTGAGAATGCCATTACAGGTAGAAATGTACTGAACTCTAAAAGGCTGCTTTTAAGGGTGAGGGAGGAGAGGGACCACTTCAACTTAATACCAGTCAAACTTTTAAATGGTAATTCCTAAAACAAAATTATAAAATATATATGATGGGAGGTGGTTATGTATCTAACTAATATTTTTTTTCTAGATAAGAACATTTAATCCAGGGAAGCCTGGGTGGCTCAGTCAGTTGGGCGACTGCCTTCAGCTCAGGTCCTGATCCCAGGGTCCTGGAATTGAGCCCTGCATTGGGCTCTGTGCTCAGTGGGGAGCCTGCTTCTCCCTCTCCCCTTGCCTGCTACTCTGCCTGTTTGTGCTGTCGGTCACATAAGTAAATAAAAATTCTTAAAAAAAAGTTTAATCCATAAACCTCCAAAATTTTATTTTATTTTTTAATTTTTAGTTTTTATTTTTTAAAAGATTTTATTTATTTGACAGACAGAGATCACAAGTAGGCAGAGAGGCAGGCAGAGAGAGAGGAAGGGAAGCAGGCTCCCTGCTGAGCAGAGAGCCTGATGCGGGGCGCGATCCCAGGACCCTGGGATCATGACCTGAGCCGCAGGCAGAGGCTTTAACCTACTGAGCCACCCAGGCGCCCCCAAAATTTTATTTTTATTTTTTTTTTAAAAGATTTTATTTATTTATTTGTCAGAGAGAGTGAGCACAGGCAGACAGAGTGGCAGGCAGAGGCAGAGGGAGAAGCAGGCTCCCCGCCGAGCAGGGAGCCGGATGCGGGACTCGATCCCAGGACGCTGGGATCATGACCTGAGCCGAAGGCAGCCGCCCAACCAACTGAGCCACCCAGGCGCCCCCAAAATTTTAAAGGATTACTTGAGTTCATTTAAATTATGGTACAGTTTATATATATATTTTAAAAGCAACATTTTAGAAGTCTGTCAACCATATAATAGTGTTCATCTTTCACATTCTCATTGAGGATTGGAAAACAAATTATTTAAGTTCCAAAAGATAATAGCAAAATTTCAGTTTAAGATGCTGAGATTAATCTTGGTAGTCTGGAACTCAGTCCACTGAGATTTCCTGACCTTTACTAATTGTTTTGAAAAATGGTTTTCTGACTTCACACTAGCCAGACATTGTGGTTTCTAGGGAAAACTACCAGAAATACATTAATTTGATTCTCTGGTGTGCTGAGCCAGATGCTAGCTTCCAAACTTTTAAAGATTTTATTTCTTTATTCAAGAAAGAGAGAGAGGGCATGGTAGGGATGGACAGAGGGAGGTGAGAGAGAAACTCTAACTAGACTCCACTCTGAGAGCAGAGCCGCACTCGGGGCTTGATGTCATGACCCTAAGATTAGGGCCTCGGCTGAAAACAAGAGTCAGACATTTAACCAACTGAGCCGGCAATGTGCCCCCCCGGACACTGTTCTTTTTATTTTTTTATTTAAATAATTAAAAAAAACCATTTTGTTTATTTATTTGATAGAGCGAGAGTGAGTACAAGCAGGGGGGAGTAGCAGAGGGAGAGGGAGAAGCAGGCTCTGCACTGAGCAGGGAGCCCAATGTGGGGCTCGATCTTAGGATCCTGGCATCATGACTAGAGCGGAAGGCAGATGCTTAACTGACCAAGTCACCCATGTGCCCCTCTACTGTTCATTTTTTTTTTTTTAAAGATTTTATTTATTTATTTGAGAGAGGGAACACAAGTGGGTGGCCGTGGGAGGGACAGAGGGAGAAGCAGGCTGAGTAGGGAGCTTGATGGGCTTGATTTCAGGACCCTGGGATCATGACCTGAGCCCAGGCAGACATTTAACTGACTGAGCCACCCAGGTGCTCCTCTACTGTTCATTTTAATCAGAAGACTTTACTAGTCTGTTTGGGGACTATGTTTCCCATGATTTCTTTCTCTTTTTTCTTTTTTTAAGATTTTGTTTATTTGAAAGAGAGAGAGAGAGCATGAGCAGGGGGAGTGGCAGAGGGAGAAGCAGAAGCAGACTTCACACTGAGCAGGAAGCCCATGAGATCTGGGGCTCAGGCTCGATCCCAGGACCGTGGGATCCTGACCTGAGCCAAAGGCAGACACTTAACGACTGAGCCACCCAGGGGCCCCCGATGATTTCTTTGAAAGTCAAAATCAACATAAATTTCAACATTTCAAAATGATTTGCTGTTCTTGTTTACAGGAACTTTGTTTACATACTAAGCTGTTAGCTCCAGTGAACTGTCCTATTGCTGATTTCCTTATGAAAGCTCCTGAACCCCCACCAGCTTTAATTGTAAGAAATGCTGTACAGATGCTTAAGGTTGGTGTCTCCACAGTTTTATTTTACCTGTTTTACTTGAAATTTAAACACAGCGAGGATACATCTTACAGAATTTTGTCCTTAAAAATGTTATCTTAAATAATCATGTACTTTGAATAATACTCTCATGGTAATTATAGTAAAACAGTAGAGTTCATAGTTCTTTTTTATATAAAATATGGAAAGCAGAATATGTTTTTTATAAGATGTGGCAGAAGAAAATTTACATTTTCATTTCCTGATGACTTTTTAGGTATGTGATTTGATTAAGCATAGTTTTTGGTCATGTCAGATTCTGTTTTTGTTCTTTTATTTAGACTATAGATGCAATGGATGCTTGGGAGGATCTCACTGAGCTGGGATATCATTTGGCTGACTTGCCCGTAGAGCCACATCTTGGTAAAATGGTCCTGTGCGCTGTTGTTTTAAAGTGTCTGGACCCCATCCTCACAATTGCCTGCACGCTAGCCTATCGAGACCCTTTTGTCCTGCCAACCCAGGCCTCTCAAAAACGGGCAGCTATGCTATGTAGAAAACGCTTCACTGCAGGGACTTTCAGTGACCACATGGCCCTTCTCCGAGCATTCCAGGTATGGTTTATTATTGTCATTTCATTTCTGAACATGGTGCTGCCTATACACGTATCTGCCTATATACGTATCTGCCTATACACTTTTCAGTGACCACATGGCCCTTCTCCGAGCATTCCAGGTATGGTTTATTATTGTCATTTCATTTCTGAACATGGTGCTGCCTATACACGTATCTGGGGCAAGTGTAATGAATTCACAAAGAGACACGATTCCATTAATTTTGTTTCATTCAGAAGTCATATTTTATTACTAGCTTAGAAAAATACCTTCCTACTGTTAATGTGCTGGAATTATCAGTTTCTACCTTTTTTCTCTTTCATTTTCTCAGTTTTCTCCATGTAGGAATATGTGAATGCATGTATTTATGTTTGTTTACTTGTATTCATTTTCTAATACTCAAGTTCCTACTCTTTTAATCATATCTTGGGTAGGGAATGCACTAAAATTTTAGTTAAGAAGCAATGTATATTACTCAAATATGTAGAAGAAACGTTGGAAGAAAATTACCTTGAATTTAGTATCTATTTATTGATTTTTTTTTAGAGTACATCTTTTTCTTATATGCTCACAACAGTGCGCTAAGAACTTAATTTTATAAAGTAAAATCCAAATATCACTTAAAACTTTTCAAGATAGGAGTAGTGAGAAATTGAGGAATGTGATAAATGAGAAAGCAAAGATAAGGAAAATGGGATTCTGAGGGAAGGAAGTGATGCATAATTTAGAATTTCAAATAATGTGAAGAAGATGGTGTTACTTCCTGAAGAGGTAGACATGTTATTTATCCTTAAATTCTCTAGAATGTAGGCTGTGACTATACTTTTTTCTTTGTTACTATACATTTAAAAAAAAATTCATTTTGTTTATGCAGAAAATACTCTTTTCCCAGGCATACAGGATTTTTCTGATATATATAGGTTAAAAAAAAAATAATGGCAAGCTGTTTTGTGAGCATAATTGAACAATGGATGATGCCGTGCTATTGAGTTCATTAGATACCCCATGTTATAGGAGATTAGTTGAGTGGATAATAGAGGGAGATTTGGTGTAGAATTCCTATGCATTCTTTGCTTTTTCCCCAGCTCCTTCAAAAGCAGAGAGGATAAAGTACTGCCTTGGTCTTTTAGTTATATTCCAAAGTAAGAAAAGTCATTTTCAAAGAGGAGCTTTCTTATACTGCATATAGGTGGTTTCTAGAAATCTTGCTTCCCATTCTCAGATAAATCAAGAAGAGGTTGATATAAAGGTTTTTTTGGAGGACAGGAGTGGTAGAATCCTTACATATAAACGGTGTTATGATGGCTTAGTTAAAAACCTCCAGTACGTCAGTGGAAGAAAACTAGCAGACACATCTGAAAAGGCAGGTGTTTTTACATAGCTGGTCATTTAGGTTAATGGATACTTTATTCTCATTAGGATTTTATAAACTGAATGGCTTTCATAGCATTTGAGTATAAATTAATGATAAATTTTATTTAGTCATGAAGTCTTAGATTTTTCTTACATTTAATTTTAAAATTTATATTTTTTAAAAATTGAGATGTCACTGACATATAAGATTAGTTTTAGGTGTAAAACATAATGATACTATAATTGTATATATTGGGAAATGATCTCCATAGTAAGTCTAGTTAACATCCATCACTGCACATAGTTACAAATATTTTTCTGTTGTGATGAGAACTTTTAAGATTTACTCTCTGATATGTTAACTAGATTTATTGTGATCATTTCATAATATATACAAATACTGAATCACTATTTCGTATACCTGAAATGAATATAATGTTAAATGCCAGTGATATCAATTAAAAAAAAAAGTTTACAAAAAAAAAAAAAATCTACTCTTTGGGTACCCACGTAGAGCAGTTGTTTGGGCGTTCAACCCCTTCTGCTCAGGTCCTGAGATCGAGCCCTGCGTTGGGCTCCGCACTCAGCATGGAGTTTGCTTGAGACTCTCTCTCTCTCCCTCTGCCCCTCTGCAGACTTTCTTTTTCTCTAAAACAAATAAATCTTTAAAAAAAATCTATACTCTTAGCAACTTCCAGATATACAGTGTAATGTTATTAACTATGGTGACCTTGCTGTAAGTTACAGGACTTACGTATTTTATAACTTTAAGCTTGTATCTTTTGACCCTTTTCACCCCACCTTCCTCTCCTCCCCTGCCTCTGGGAACTACCAATCTGTTCTCTGTATCTTTGAGTTTTGGGGTTTTTTTTTGTTTGTTTGTTTGTTTTAAGATTTTGTTTATTTATTTGACAGACAGAGCTCACAAGTAGGCAGAGAGAGAGGAGGAAGCAGGCTCCCTGCTAAGCAGAGAGCCCGATGTGGGGCTCGATCCCAGGACCCTGGGATCATGACCTGAGCTGAAGGCAGAGGCTTTAACCCACTGAGCCACCCAGGCACCCCTGAGTTTTGTTTTTTTTAATGAGGGCCTAGATTTTATCAAATAATTAGAAGGAGAATTGACCTTGAGTAGCTAATGTAGAGGTTTTCAGTTACTTTGCAGCCTAACTAAGGAATTTAGTGAATGTATCTTGTTATATAATTATATTTTCATAGGCATGGCAGAAAGCACGAAGTGATGGGTGGGAGCGAGCCTTTTGTGAAAAGAATTTTCTTTCACAAGCTACCATGGAAATAATCATTGGCATGAGAACTCAGTTGCTTGGTCAGCTTAGAGCATCAGGTAAAATTTTCCCTAAAAAACTTACTTAGACTACTGAGAGCACCTTACTTATACCTATTAGTATTTTTAGTGTTAACTGATGCCATCTGATATTATTTTTATGACATTTTCACATTGTTTTATATCTTGTATATAGCAAACTGCTTTGTAGACTCCTTTGTGATTTCAGCTTTTGTTTGTTGGTTAGAAAAATGATATTGTAGAAGCTGTAGCTGAGAAATCTATGAGTACCTTTTGATACTATAGCCAGTGAGCAATTTGTAGTACATTTGTTGGCAAAAAGCAATTTAGATGTTGTAGTTCTGTTTTATCACTTTAATAAACAGCTGTTTAGCTCTATAATAGATTTAAATATGTAAGTAGGTTGATACAAATGTGGTCTTCATATTTTTAGAACATAAAACGCTAGTAATCTCTCTTTAAGGCACTTAATTTTTTTTTTTTAAGAGAATGCCAGTATTGTTATGTCAGTTTGGAATTACTTCTTTAAATTTCCTCTTGTTAATTTTTTAATAAATTTCCTTTTGAGTAGCATAGTACATTGAGAATATAGTTGAAAAGTACCAGAGCCCGGATGCATGGATGAGCTAAAGTGCCAAAGTAATAAAAGGAGTGAACCAAAAGGTTTTAGAGTGGTCTCAAATATTAGGAAATATGAAGGGCTTTGGAAATTCAAGCAAGAATATATGTATTGTCTTCACTCTAGAATTCATGTCTGTCATAACCAAAATGTTATTAATACCAGTCAGAAGAATGGTTTAGATTTTCAGCTATGATTTTAGGACATTTCTTTTTTTAAAAAATTTTAGTACATTTCTGATAGCATCTTACAAAGAACTTTATAGCAAGGATGTGTATTCTTTAGAAGTCCCTAAGTCCCCTATACTTTACTTTAGCCTGAGCAAACCTAAACTTTCTTAGAATGTTGATTCTGTATTTTAAACTTTACAGAGGAGATTTTATTAATTATTGTGGAATTTGAATATCATGAAACGTACCTGGGTTAGTACAATTTTTGTAAAAAACGCACATGTTTGAAAGTATATTTTGTGCAATAGTGTGTTGGTGTGTTTTTTTCCCCTCCGTCTAGGCTTTGTTAGGGCACGAGGTGGCGGTGACATTCGAGATGTTAACACAAATTCCGAGAACTGGGCTGTCGTCAAAGCTGCGTTAGTAGCAGGCATGTATCCTAATTTAGTCCATGTGGACAGAGAGAATGTCGTATTGACAGGGCCGAAGGAGAAGAAAGTTCGGTTTCATCCCACTTCAGTTCTCAGCCAGCCTCAATATAAAAAGGTAAAATATGTTTAATGCTCTTAGGCCTTGAGGAGAAACTAATCTAATTTATATAGTTCAAGAGCAGCAAAAAGATGCTCCACAGACCAAGCAATTAATTGACTATATGTGTATAATTAAACATTGGAACAAAATTTTGATGAAATCTTAGCGTTGGAAGAGGTCATGTGTTAGGTAATGAGGACTTGTGTTCCAGCTGCGTGAGCAGTGACTTGCTTTACTGTTTGCCTGACAACTAATATCTGTCATCTGTTGCGCTGAGGGACGTTCTGCAGGTTAAAAGTATGGCCAGTAAAGTAGGTGGTAAATACAGTTAAGATTTTGATTTCTTTTTCTGATAGATTCCTCCAGCCAATGGTCAGGCTGCAGCGATTCAGGCACTGCCTACAGATTGGCTTATTTATGATGAGATGACCAGAGCCCACAGAATAGCTAACATTAGATGTTGTTCGGCAGTGACCCCCGTCACCGTGTTGGTATTCTGTGGACCAGCGAGGCTCGCAAGTAATGCTCTTCAGGAACCTTCATCGTTTCGAGGTAAATGGATCATAAGGAAATACAAATCTGTTTGAAATGAAAAAAAAAATTTTTTTTTTACTAGACCAAATAAAATTTGAAATTCCAAACACGTATATAGGAGTAGCTCTCTTTTGATATATTGAGACGAATTAGAAAATACTAAAGTATACCTCAGTTCTTAAAATTGATTTCTAAGGTAACTTGTTACTGGCTTGTGCATTTTTGGTTAATCTTGCTGATAGGAAGTTTACTTTTCTCTCCCACTTGAAGTTAAATAATAGTTTAACATAAAGGTAATTCTTTAAGGGAAATCATAAGAGTGACCCATGACCCCATTTCTCTTACGCAAGCAAACACGTTTGTTTTTTTTTTTTAAGATTTTATTTATTTATTTGACAGACAGAGATCACAAGTAGGCAGAGAGGCAGGCAGAGAGAGAGAGGAGGGAAGCAGGCTCCCCGCTGGGCAGAGAGCCCGATGCGGGGCTTGATCCCAGGACCCTGAAATCATGACCTGAGCGGAAGGCAGAGGCTTTAACCCACTGAGCCACCCAGGTGCCCCAAGCAAACACTTTTTATATTATGTTAAGAATATTGGGGCGCCTGGGTGGTTCAGCTGGTTGAGCGTCTGCCTTCTGCTCAGGTCACGATCCCAGGGTCCTGGGATCGAGTCCCACATCAGGATCCCTGCTCGACGGGGAGACTGCTTCTGTCTTCCTCTGCATCTCCCCCAACTTACTCTCTCTCTCTCTCTCTCAAATAAATAGAACTCTTTAAAAAAAAAAAAAGATGTAGCCAAAAAAAAGATTATGTGATTTTTAAAAGTTATACACATTTTATTTTATATCTTGCTATTTTCATTATGCAGAATATAAATTTTCAAAAATATTTATATTAATGGTTGCAAAATATTCTCTCAAAAGTGGCATAATACAATTAAAATGTTCGTTTGCAGTTGCTTTTTTTCAGTTTTTTGCTGTTCAGTGATTTAGCAAATATTCATTGGTCAACTCCTATATATTAAGGATGCTAGGCATTGAAAATGTAACAAAACAGTATAGACAAGGTGTTTTGGTCCTTAGGAGTTTACATGGTAGTGGGGGGTAGACAGAAAAAAAGTAAATAATCTGCATGCTACTATGAAGGAAATAAAGAGGACTGCCTTGGGGGGTGACCTGCTTTAGAAAGAGACCCTGATTCACAGACCTGTACCCCTGGGGATAAAAATATATTATATGTTTATAAAAAATAAAATTAAAAATATAAATAAATAAATAAATAAAAAAATAAATTAAAAAAAAAAAAAAAAAAGAAAGAGACCCTGGAACAAGTATCTCCGAGGGGGTGTGATTTGAGTATAAGACCTAAAGTATGAGACGCTGTTAGGAAGAGAAGCAGATTCAAAATGATTCTGGAGGTACTGCTAATTGCTGGATTGAATGGGTGGTGAGTGGAAGGGAGGAGTCAGTAACTTGCAGGATTTTGGCTGTGGTAGCTTGCTGGAGTAACTTTTTAAAATTCTTTTTTCTTCTTGATGTTCACCTTGGGTGGTTTCTACCACCCTGTCTTCCAGATCACTGATCCCGTTCTACTCATCTAATCTGATGTTCAGTCCTTTTAGTTTATATTTCATTTCAGTTCTTATATCTCTCAGCTTTCTCCTCATATACTGTTTTAGAAAGCTTACATGAATGTATATCACATTTGGCATCTTTGTTTTTTTAAAGTATTCATTTATTTAAATCATCTCTACACCCACCATGGGGCCTGAACTCACAAACCCAAGATCAAGACCCGAGATGAGATCAAGAGTCAGCCACTTAACTGAGCCACCCTGGTGCTCCATCTCCTTTTCTTCTTTTAAATTTGAATCCTATGAATTTACCTGAGCTTTTCTTGATTTTTAGTGTTTTCATTCCCTTCTTTATGTTCTTAGTTTTCTTCTCCGTCTGGTTAATATTTAAATATTGTGTTTTGATTTTTAAGTTCTTGTCTTTTTTTTTTTTTTTTAAGATTTTATTTATTTGAGAGAGAGAAAGAGAACACAAATTGGGGGTGAGGAGGGGCAGAGGGCGGAGGAGAAGCAGACTCCCCGCTAAACAGGGAGCCTGATGTGGGACTCGATCCCAGGACCCTGAGATGATGACCCGAGCCAAAGGCAGTCGCTTAACTGAGCAACCCAGGCGCCCCATTCTTGTCTTTTTAAAATTTCCTGCATTTTGATTAGAGATTATAGTCTTTAAAATGCCTTCCCCCTCCTTTATGTAAATACTGAGACTTAATTTGTGAACTCTTGGATTTGAAGAGCTCCCCATCCAAACTGTTAGTATATCAGGTAGATTTATGTAAATACAGAGTGTCTGTGTTTACTGACTTCTTCTGCTGTAAGATGTTAAAAGTGAACTTTTTTGCTTTCGATGTGTTTGAACCGCAGACGGTATTCCTAATGACAGTAGCGACAGTGAAATGGAAGATAGAACTACTGCTAATTTAGCGGCTTTGAAACTTGATGAGTGGCTCAGTTTCAAACTAGAGCCTGAGGTAAGTCGCTCTTCTGTAGTGTGGTGAGTTTCTTTCATTCAGTGAGTATGAACTGACATACGGTAGGTCACGTGAGCCCTTAGCGTTAGAGAATATAGTTTGTGTTTCGGTTTTCACGGGGCCTGTATGCATTCTCTGACATTCTAGGGTGTATTCAAGTAGAGGATTTGAAAAGCCTCGGTGTGGCTTGTATTTAAGGACAGTGATATTTGAGTGTTTCTGTGGGTGGTACACAGAACTCCCTTTGTTTCGTATAACTCTGTTTCTGAGAGAAAGATATGAGTTCATTCTGTTTTCTCTTTTTGTATATTTCTGAATTGGGAAAGATGAATGTCTTTTTTTCAAATTAAAAATGTTCTTGACGAAGCCTTCCCTTCATTCCATCTCCACCTTTATGTATTTATTTTTTTTCAAGGTATTCAAGTCTGTATTGTTATTGTCCTCCTTTATCTTTCTATACAGTTTTCTCCTTTTGGAACGGGAATAACAGAGGAAGTACATTACTTTCTAACCTTAAATGTTTATACAGATGCTCAACACATTTAATTATAGAAAATCAATTTGTTTCGAGTTACAAAATTGATGTGGATATGTAATTAATGAAAAAAAGATGTTAAAAAGATAACTATAAGAATACCCAGATACATGCTGTATTCCCATTTATATGGCTCTGATTCATAATATATCAGCACATTCACTTGCATACTAATTTAATCCATGGATCAAGGCTGTGTATTCAAAGGATGCCAGGACCCTTCAAGAGTTGGAGAAAAGAGTTTGGGAACAGAATATGCTTTATTTAGCCAGTGAAAACCTAGAGTAATAAAGTTTTATCTCATGATAGCAGTCAGACTTGCAAACATGCAGAAATAGGATTTAAGTTTTTTTTTTTTTTTTTTTTTAAGAGTTATTTGAGAGAGACTTATAATGCATGTAAGTAGGAGGAAGAGAGAGGAGAGAATCTCAGGCAGACAACCCGCCCCCCTCCGCCTAGTGTAGAGCTTGATTCGGGCTTGCTCTCATGTTCCTGAGATCACAGTTGGAGCTGAAATCAAGAGTCAGATGCTGAACTGACTGAGCCACCCAGGCACCTCAGGAATTAAGGGTTTTAAATGTAGTTATAAAGTTCATAAAAAAGCAGACCGAGGTACATTTACTCAAAATGTTGAGATTCATTAAGTGGTAGCAAACAAAATAATTCCTCAGACAAATGCACATTTTCCAGTATATTGGGGGAAGGAAGGGAGAAGAATGTGTGTTAAGTAGTGAAATCCACCAAGCTGTATATCAGTATTCTGTCACACCAAACAGTTTGGAGACAAGGAAAGTGTTCTAATGTAATTTCAGATTATGTTTCACTTGGCTAAAATAGAGCTTAAGGGTGCTTTGCCATATTAAAATTGACTACAGTGAATTTTCACAGAAGGTTATAGACTTAAACTCCGGGACTAAATATGGCATGATTATTTTGCTTTTAATCTGTCAAATAGCTAAAAATTGACAATTCCAAAAAGTACTACAAAGAACAAGTTGAAGTGATGTGACTCTTATGTCATTGAACCACTTGTAACTGTCAACTGTTAGTATTTAACCAATTCAGAGAATTAATCCTCTCTGAGTTAATTCACTCAGTCTCTGTGCCTTAGCTGGGACACGTAATTACAAAAGACAGCTACTGGTTAAAGCTCCGTCTCTCTCTCTCTTTTCTTCTTTTTTTAAAGATTTTATTTATTTATTTGACAGAGAGAGGCACACAGAGAGAGGGAACACAAGCAGGGGCAGCAGGAGAGGAGAAGCAGGCTTTCCACTGAGCAGGGAGCCTGACTCGGGCCTCGATCTCAGAACCCTGGGATCACGACCCGAGCCAAAGGCAGCTGCCCAGTGACTGAGCCACCCAGGTTCCCGCTCTGTCTGTATTTTTAAGAGATCCTACTATTTCCTTTTTTGTTGTTGTTGAAGGGGGAGGGTGGTCAGCAAAGCCTTCAAAAGTCGACAACTGGCTAGGTTTACTTTTTTACTCTCTGTTCACTTGTCACTTCAGTCCCACCCCTGGAATCCCTCTTCTATTTGCACCAGCCCTTCCCTTCCCTGAAAAGGCCTTTGTCAAGGTCAGCATGTCCCCCACATTGTCAAGGGCCGTCCACTGTCCTTGAGTTTATCCTTTCTCTCATGTTTGGCACTGTTGTCCATCCCCTTCCTTGTGTAATACTGCCCTTCTCCATTTTTCCTTCTCACCTGTCCCAGCTTCTTTGTCACAAGTTACTATGACGTTAGTCTTTCCTGATTCTTCTTTCTTAAAAAGTCATTCCTTCTTAGGTTCTTTCATTGACTCTGCCCATATGTGTTTGTGCCTTAAATGTTAGATATTCTCCAGTACTCTGGGCTTTACTGTGCTCTTTTCATGTCTGTGTACAATCTCTAGGGACCTTACCTCAGTGTGTAGGTTTAGTAAACATTGATGCATGGATGACTCCCAAGTCGGTCTCTATTTCTAGCTTTGGCCTTTCTCTGGATCTGTGAGACTAGCTGCTCTCTGGGTCATCATGTGGATGTTCTATAGGCACCAAAATAAAATATGAAGGAAACAAAATGTATTTTTCTTTATTTACTCTGCTGTTACTGTTCCAGTTTTAATCACACTCTAACCACACATTATTGGCCGTCTCTTCCATTGGACTGTGTCATTTGACTTTGTGTCTCTAGTCCTCATATGTGGTCAAGAAGAAATGTTATCTCATTCATGCAACAAAAAAAGTGAAATACGTTACTTCCTGACAAGTTACGCAGTGTCCTTTGGAAACAGTCGCAGAGCTTCACTAGTAAATGGGTGTCTTGCAAGTGGTTCGCCATCTTGCTTGGCTCGCCTTGAACTGAGGAGCCCGTTCTATTCCAGGCAGCCAGTTTGCTGCTGCAGCTCCGGCAGAAGTGGCACAGCTTGTTTTTACGCCGAATGAGAGCGCCATCTAAACCCTGGTCTCAGGTTGATGAGGCCACCATAAGAGCCATCATCGCTGTTCTCAGCACGGAAGAACAGTCTGCGGGCTTACAGCAGCCGTCGGGAATAGGCCAGAGGCCAAGGCCTATGTCTTCAGAAGAACTTCCTCTGGCATCATCTTGGAGGTCAAATAACAGCAGGAAAACCTCGGCAGATACTGAATTTTCGGATGAGTCTGCTGCTGCAGAAAGGTAAATTGGTAACATTTTATCAAAACTGGAGACATGTTTCCCCCTAGGAAAATGAATTATTTATCAAAGAATCATGAGCTTTTGTAACATTTAAAAATTACTTATAATAGAAAAAACATAGAAAGGTTACACTAAAATGGGAAGAGTTTTTTTACTTTTTTTTTTTTTTTTAAAGATTTATGTATTTATTTGAGGTGGGGAGGGACACAGGGAGAGCGAGAGCGCGTCTTAAGCAGACTCCGTGCTGAGCTGAGCTCGATCTCACGGCCCTGAGATCACGACCTGAACCGAAACCAAGAGTTGGGCACTTAACCGACTGTGCCACCCAGGTGCCCCAAGTTTTTTACTTTTAAAACATGGTTTTCAGTAGTCTCAGGATAAAATGAGGGATTTTAAACTCTTGGTATTTATGAGTTATTTAATAAGGAAATTTTTTTATCAGGAAAATCTCAAATGTTTAATTTAAAGAATTGACAAGTTTAGCATCTGTTAAAAAGCTTATTATTATTTAGCATCTGTTAAAAAGCCATTATTTTAAAATTATATATTTTCGTTGCTACATGTTAATATCTTTCCCAGACATGCAAGAAGCATGGGCTGTGGCCATTTAAAAGAACAACATTCCCACAAGTCTTACCTAAGTATCAATATTGCTGATTGTATTGTATTCCTATAGGAGATCAATTATTCATTCATTGATTCAGTGATGCGTTACATGTGCATTGTTGTTGGTGTAAGAGATACAGCAGTGTACTAAACAAAGATCTCTTCCTTCAGAGAGTTTATCTTTTATCCAGGGGAGGCATATAATAAGCAAATTTACTGTAATGGCAGAATCTGTTACACTTTAGCCAAATTCTTCTTTTTCTTTCCAGCATTTAGCAATTAGATGTGATATTTTTATTTACTATATGATGATGATTAGTAATAAGAGAGCTCTTCTATTGAATTATTTATCCAAAAATGTGCTTCAAATATATAATAGTGGTTGTAATGAATCATTGGCCATGATTCAAAAATATTTGTAGTGTAACAACATTTGTTAGAACCATATTTGTTTCTTTATATCCATTAAAACATTTCTTACCCTGCTAGAATTGATAACAAAAACAATATTCTTGTCTGTGATGCTAATTTTAGCAATGTTGGTAGAAAGTCTGTGTGTTAAGACTATTTCATTGTTAAAAAAAGCTGAAAATACAGTGAAAACATGAAAGTTATGTAATGTTTACTGTTTTTTAAGGATCAGATGGGGCTGTTAGTGTCTTCTTTTGGTCAGATTTGCATATTTGAATGAAACATACGGCTTCATCAGGTCAGACTTCAGTCAAGGGGAGTATTCTATACTGGTTTCCAAGTTCTTCAGATATTACACTTGAGGAATAATTCAGTCATTTGTCAAGAAAATCTTCTCATGTGTGTTCCTGAATGTTTCTGATGTAGGCTCTGCTGGGCAGTAGAAGAGTAAAAGGCACATTTTCTTCTAGACACTAACTACTTTTTGAAAAGATTTTTCTGAAAGCTTCCTTGAACAATGGTTTAGAATGTGGAAGTAGATTTCCATAGATACTGTTAAGCGGTAATGTTATTCCGAGGCCCATCCATAAAAACCCGTTAGGTTCGTCGAGACTGTGTGTTTTGTGTGTGTGTGTGTGTGTGTGTGTGTATAAATGCAAGTGTATATGTATGTGTGCATCTATTCGCATACACACACATACGTTTTTGGAAAATGTGTAATAGATGCTTATTTAATAAAAGAAATTTAATAAAATTAAGAAAATCAAAATGATAAAATGTAATATTAGTTATAATTCAGATATTTGTTGTCTTATAAATTTAGTTTTTCACCGGTGACACTGGAATCAAGCATTTCCATTTCCTTACAAGTTGTAGCCTGGCAGTCTTCATTTTCTTACCTGTTGAATGGTGGGATCTGGAATTTTATCTACCTTCAGAATTTTGGTAGTATTAGTAGATAAGGCCTGGAGTTGGTGGGTTTGGTGGGGAATGGGATGAGGACGCTTAGGAAGATTTATTTTTAAAGAGAGAAATTAGCAGTTTTTGTGAGACTACTTCTTGGAGAGAAACTATAATTAGAGTTTTCCTCTGCAGTGGTAAAATACATTTACTTTTTCTTAACATAAGTACTTTTTTTTTTTTTTTACTATATTTACTATTCTTTTAATAAAATCATTTTATTGAAACTATTTTAAAATAGTTTAAGAAACTATTAAAGTATTAGAAATTGCCCATCTTCCATCCTAAATCATACCAGTCTATCTTTTGCTTGTCATTTTGATAATTGGTTGGCAGAGGACAGGTGCATCTTTTCTATAAGAGAAATGAGATAAAATGAATTCAGTGTCTGAACTTCTTAAATGAAAAGGTGGGGGGGCTTGCGGAGGGCTTTGTTTCCATCTTTATGAAATTTTCCAGGGAAGCCAAGCATAAGAGAGAGAAGCTAGAATGGAGCTCAGATTAAAAGATCAGTTTGAAAACCAAAAGGTAGACCAGAAAATACATTTTTATTTTAATGAGGTTTTACCCTCATTAAGTTCTGTTGCCTAATTTTCAGGTCACTGAGTTGCCAGGGTAAGAACGATGTGATTTTAGGGGGGTCAAATTTACATAATGCATTGAACATCAATTCATGAGAGAAAAAAACCCCTGAAAGGTCTTTTACACTTCTTAGCAGGTTGTTAATGATTCAGATATGCATTCATTATATAGTCTTTGTTAATATGTTTAGGCTTCACTGCTTTTATTTTATTTGTGAAAGAAATAATACTGGATCTGAGATAGTTACTCTTGAAGGAAGAGTAATTATAATTGTAGGAGTCTATGGTAGTTTATGAATTATTAAACACAATCTTTTTTGTTTTAAACTTGTTTATTATCAATATTGTTAAACACAGCAAACTAAATGATATACCATAATGAACTCCATGTCCCACATTCAGCAGTTACCCAGATTTTTACTGCTTGCTGTATCTAGCCAGATTTTCTTTTTTCATTCTTGGCTTTCTTATTTGGTTTACATATTTCCAGATAAATTCTACACATCGTGTCATTTTACCCTTCCATATTCAAACATACATCTCTTAAAAATAGAGGAATTTGGGGGCACCTGGTGGCTCAGCTGGTTAAGCATCCGACTCTTGATTTTGATTCAGGTTTTGATCTCAGGGTTGTGAGTTCAAGCCTGGTATTGAGCTCCATACTGGGCGTGGAGGCTGCTTTAAAAAAAAAAAAAAAAAAGGAGGAAATTTTTCTACATAATTAAAATCCAATTATCAATCCCAGTAAAATGATCATTTCCCCAGTTGTCATACTGTATACATTTATTTGAATTAGCATCCAGGGAAGACTCATCAGGGCGTCATGTTTTTTGAGGCTCCTACAATCTAGAGTAGTTCTTCTGTTAACTTTTGTTTTTTTTTGAAGATTTTATTTATTGGAGAGAGAGCGAGAGCGAGAGAGAGAAGAGAGAGAGTAGTTCTTTAAATAACTTTTGTTTTTAAAAGATTTTATTTATTTATTAGAGAGCGAGAGAGAGCGAGTATGAATCGGGGTGGGAGTGGGAGGGACACAGGGACAGGGAGAAGCAGACTCCCTGCTGAGCCAGGAGCCTGCTGCTGGGCTGTATCCCAGGACACCTCAGGATAGTAACCTGAGCTGACTGGGCCACCCAGGTGCCCCCTCTATTGACTTTTTTGAAGAAAGTGGGTTGGTAGTACTGTGAGGTATATCACATTCTGGATTTGTCTGTTTCTTCTTGGCCTTCTTTGTTGGCATACCATGTGTATTTCGTCTAAACTGGTAGTTAGCTCTCAGGGTTTGATTTGAGCCAATATTTTGGCAAGTGTATTTTATAGGTGGTGCTGTGAACTTTGTATCACATGACTTTAGGAAATAGTGTCTTTTTTTTTTTAAGGTCTGGTTCCACAAAGACCTATACTTTTAGAAAAACTTCAAAGTTTCTGATTGCCAGCTTTGCTGCATTTATTCATAGAATTTTAGAATAGAAGAATTTTACAGTTTAGTATAATCCTTTTATTTAACACGTAAGTAAATGAAAGCTCAAATAAGTTAAGAGACTTGCCCAGGATCAAATACCTTAGTTGTAAATTTAGTACTGTCCTAGAAGTCTTCTCTCCTGACTGTAGTCCAGCAGTATTTTAATACTTTATCATATTTTTTTGGTATGCTTTTAAAATATATTTTACTTGGCTCTAAGATATTTTGTGAAAGTGGAAGGGAAGTAGAGTGGGTGATATTTTAGTAAGGGCCATTAGCATAGATGTATTTAAATAACTATATAATGTTAAAGACCTCTCCAATAGCATCATACAAGAGGTTAGAAATTTGTTTTTTAGGATTTTATTTATTTACTTGAGAGAGAGAAAGGGCAGAAGCAAGGGGGGCAGTAGAGGGAGAGGGAGAAGCAAACCTCCTGCTGAGTGAAGACCCCGACAGGGGGCTCGACCCCAGGACCTTGAGATCATGACCCGAGCTGAAGGCAGACGCCAAACTGACTAAGTCACCCAGGCTCCCTGAGGTTAGGAATTTTGTAAGGGAAATAATATTTTGAGTATTTGTTAACATTAAGTTAAGAACTTACATAGATTTTAAAAAATACATTTTTACCTATTGTTTGTGTAAATGCACCCTAATATCTCAGATGTTTTTTCACTCTAAATGTGAGATAAATGAAATTCCCTTAGTATTACACCATATATCATAATGCTACTGCGACTCTGGTTTGAAATGGAGTCTGCTTTGTATTATGAACTTGTGTGTCACTGATCTTTGTTTCCTCCTTCCCACTCAAGAGTATTGGCGAAATCTCCATCTCCAGCACTGCACCCCCCTCAGAAGTACAAAGATAGAGGGATTTTACATCCTAAACGAAGCACTGATGACCGATCAGATCAGTCTTCTGTGAAATCTACGGACAGCAATAGCTACCCAAGTCCTTGTGCCAGCCCTTCTCCTCCATCCTCAGGAAAGGTACAGTATCTACAAGTTGATGTAGCAAGGACCAGATTGCTAGCACATTTCACATTACATATTGAAGCAAAAAGACAATACAGTTCTATCTTTGGTTACTAATCGTGGTCTTTGTTCTAGATATAAATGGAATCTGGCAGACTTGAGACACCTTGCATAAATTTTTTTGTTTTTCCTGCTTGGCAGAGATTTCTAGTTAGCACCATCTTAGGATGTTTTAAAACTAACAGACCGTTTACCAGCGGCATGTAACTCAGCCGTCCGCCATGTCCTTTCTGTATCGTTAGAACCTTTTTTGATTAAGTAACAAGATGATCTCAAATTAGTTTAGGTTTGTAATTTCAGAGTTGCAAACAATGGTTTCTTTTGAATTATGAATTGATTTCTCCAATTCAGTAGTTGTATTAAAAAGTACAAGATAGGGTGGGAATTAGGAAGGTAGGGAATGTTGGTAGGGAATTGAGAACTATGTATCTTTGAAAAAAATTTATAATGTGATTTCAAATATTTAGAATACGTTTACTTCTTATTTCCTGTGTTGTTGGTACTAAATATTCAATTAGGGTTATTTAGCTATATGTTGTGTTCTGGGACAAATGTCTGCTGAAACACTCTTGTTAAATAAGAGGAAAAGAAATGTTTTTTGTGTATTTGCATTCTTAGGTTTTAGGGTCTTTTATTTTAAAATATATTTATTTAGGTATAGACATAATAAAATTCACCAGTTTGTACAATTCAGTGAATTTTGACAAATGTATATAATTATGTAAACATATCCCAGCCATGTACAGGATATTCCCACCAGCCATGGATCATGATGACTACTAAATTGCTCTCTGTCCCTAGAGTTTTGCCTTTTCTGCAGTTTGCTCGAAATGGAATCTGTGTATGTGGTTTTTTCGTGACTGGCTTATTTCACTTTTGAAATTCAACCAAATTATTAAGTGTATTCTTAGTTCATTGCTTTTTATTGCTGGAGAGTATGGCTAATATCATGGAATGTTTATCCATTCCCCAGTTGACGGACATTTGGATTGTTGCCACATTTTGGCTGTTAGAAATATTCGAGGACAAGTCTTTATGTGTACACATGGTTTCTGTTCTTGGGTAAACACCCCAGGAGTAGAAGTTTAACTTTACAAGAAACTATCCAGCTAATTTCCAAAATGGCTGTACTTTTTTCCATTCCCTTCAGTCATCTATTAGGGTCCCATATGCTCCATATTCTTGACAATACTTGACATTATTAATCTCTTTAACGTTAGCCGTTTTGGTGGGCACATAGTGATACCCCATGGTAGTTTTGATTTGCGTTTCCCCAATGACTAGTGATGTTGAGCATCTTTTCATGTGCTTACTTGCCGTTCCTGAATTTTCTTTGGTGTGAAGTATCTGTTCAAATTTTTGTTCAACTTTTCTGGTTGTTTACTGTTTGCCTTTTTTATTCAATAGTAAGATTTTATAAAATGTATTCTACATACAGATCTTAATTATATATGCTTTGCAATTTCTCTTAACAGTCTGGGCCTGCATATTCATTTTCTTAACAAGTGTTTTTTGCAAAGAAGTGTTTTTAATTTTGATGAAGTCCATTGGAGCTATTTTTTCCTGTTTTGGTTTCATCTATTTTTCTGTTGTTGTTCATATTTTTTGTGTCCTAAGAAGTGTCTGTTTAACTCTGGGGCGCCGGGATGGCTTAGTCAGTTGAGTGTCCGATTCTTGTTTTTGGCTCAGGTCATGATCTTGTGGTCTTGAGATCGAGAACCCTCCATGAGGCTCCTTTGCCTATACAATTGTTCTAGCACCATTTGTTGAAAAGGTTAAAATTTCCCTTGATTTATTTTGGCACTTTTGTCAAAAATCGATTAACCATAAGTAATGTGGTCTATTTATTGAACTCTATTCTGTTGCATTGATCTTTACACCTCTCTGTTTTGCCTCTGCTACAGTGAGTTGATTATAATAACTTTATACTAAGTCTTGAAACCAGTTAATTTTTTTCTCCAATTCTGTTCTTCTTTTTAAAAATTGCTTTGGTGTTATGGGTGTGCTAGTGTTCTTTCATATGAAGTTTAGAAAATCCTTTTGTCAATTTCCACAGAAACTTTTTTTGGTATTAAATGGAATTGCATTGATTCCGTAGGTCAGTTTGAAGAAAACCGACAACAGGTTTTAGTTTCCAAATCCGTAAGCATAGTATACATCTGCATTTCTTTTATCAAAATAAATTTTTCATACGTGTTTTGTAAATTTCAGAGTTCAGGTGTTACACATTTTTTGTTAAGTTGATCTCTAAGTATTTTATACTTTTGGTGCTGTTCTTTTTTTTTTTTTTAAAGATTTATTTATTTATTGGGGTGCCTGGGTGGCTTAGTTGGTTAAGCGACTGCCTTTGGCTCAGGTCATGATCCTGGAGTCCCAGGATCGAATCCCACATCGGGCTCCCTGCTCGGCAGGGAGTCTGTTTCTCCCTCTGACCCTCCCCCTTCTCATGCTCTCTCTCTCTCATTCTTGCTCTCTCTCAAATAAATAAATAAAAATCTTAAAAAAAAATTTATTTATTTATTTGACAGAGAGGGATCACAAGTAGGCAGAGAGGCAGGCAGAGAATGGGCGGGGAAGCAGGCTCCCTGCTGAGCAGAGAGCCCGATGTGGGGCTCAATCCCAGGACCCTAAGATCATAACCTGTGTTGAAGGCAAAGGCTTAACCTACTGAGCCACCCACGCGCCCTGTTCTTTAAATTTTTAATTTCCAGTTGTTCATTGCTAGCATATAGAAATACATTTGACTCTTGTTATATTTACCCACTATGCCACAATCTTATTTCATTTACTAATCCTGTTAGCTTTTTATGTAGATTTCTCAGGATTCTCTGTATATATAATCATTTCATCTGTTAATAAAGGCAGTTTTGCTTTTTTCCTCTCTAGTATTGATTCTGTTCCTTTCTTTTCTTGCTTGTTCTCTCTGATTAGAACCTCCTTTAAAATGTTTAATAAAAAGTGTTGAGAGCAGACATCTTTGCCTTGACCTTAGAGGGAAAGCTAGCCCCTAGTTAAATCTGTCACCATTTATGATAACATAACTATGGGACATTTCCTTTTAGATTTAGTTTGCTGAGAGGATTTATTAGGAATAAATGTTGAATTATGTTCAGTGCTTTTTTTTTTACATCTACTGAAATGATAACATAATTCTTTTTTTCTTCTATTAATAAAGTGGATCTCATTGACTGTTTTTCTAATGTTTATGCCTCACTTGGTCACAATGATTATTGTTTTAAATATTAGTAGATTTGATTTTGCTTAATCAAAACTTCTGTTAAGTTTGGGATCTTTGTTCATGAGGGATATTCTGTTGTTCTCTTTTCTTGTGTTGTTTTTGTATAGTTTTAGTATTAGAGTGATGCTGGCCTCATAAGATTAGTTGGGACATCTTCTTTCCACTTAAGGTTTTTAGAAGAGATGCCTAGAATTGATATGATTTTTTTCCTTAAATGTTTGGTAGAATTCGTACCTAAAGCCCTTTTTAACTCTCCTTGGTGTATTTCCAATCAGTATTTTGCGCTTCAGGTATAGTTTGAGAAGCTTGCAACAGTGTATTTTACCCCCCCCAGTCTTTTGAGTTACTGGTCTCATGTTAAAAATGCCAGTGTAGTATTTTTACTTCATAGTAAAGCGTCTTCTCTCAAAAGTCAGAAAAATGTCTTTTATATTTATTCAATATTTACCATTTCTTGTGCTCTTTATTCTTTTGTGTTGATGTGAATTTCTGTCTTGAATCATATAGTTCTGTCTGGAAACATTTTACCATTTCTTTGAGTACAGATATTCTAGAAATGAAGTTGTTAAGCTTTTGTCTAGAAAACCTTTTTCACCTTTATTTTTGGAAGATATTTTTACTGTGTATATAATTCTAGGTTGACAGTGGTTTTCTTTAATTTAGGCAAAGATGTCATTCCATTATCTTCTTGTTTATAATTTCTGAGGGAAGTTTACTGTGATTCTTATTTTTATTTTCCTGTATTTTTTTTTCCCCTCTAGCTGCTTTTTTTTTTTTTTTTTTATAGACAGAGATTACAAGTAGTCAGAGAGGCAGGCAGGAGGGAGAGGAGGAAGCAGGTTCCCCGCTAAGCAGAGAGCCCGATACGGGCTCGATCCCAGGACCCTGGGATCATGACCTGAGCCGAAGGCAGAGGCTCTAACCCACTGAGCCACTCAGGCGCCCCCCCTCTAGCTGCTTTTAAGATTTTCTTTTTGTCACTGGTTTTCAGCAATTCAATTTTGGTATGTTACTATTTGTAGTTCTTATAATCTTCGTATTTATAGTTTACATCAATTTTATAAAATTTAGGACCATTATTTCTTCATATATATATATGGCTTAGTTGGTTAAGCGACTGCCTTATATATATATATATATATGCATATGCATATATATATATATATATATATATATATATATATATATATATTTTTTTTTTTTTTTTGGTCTTACCACTTCCCCCTCCTTTATGGGACTTTGGATACGTAAGTGCCGATACTATTCCACAGGTCACTGAAGCTTTCTTAATTTTTTTCAGTTGTTTTCATCTGTTTGTTTCATTTGTGATGGTTTCTCTAGCTATGTGTGTAAGTTCACTGAGCTTTTTATTTGTGGTGCCTCATTGGCTATGTATCCTTTCTACTGTATTTTTCAATGCCTTCATCTCTAGAGCACCCTTTGGGTCTGTAAAGAAATACCTTCCATTTCTCATTTCAGAAGTCATGTTTGTGTTCACTTTACCGTCCTGAGCACAGTGCGTGTATTGGTGATAGCTGCTCTGACATTCTTGTCTCCTAATTCCATCATCTGTCAGACCTGACTCTTTCCCTATTTGGTCATTTTTTCCCTAGGTTATGGGTCATTGTTTCCCATTTCTTGACATTCCTTATAGCTTTGTTTGGCTGCTAGATTTTTGTTGTGTTCCTTTAAGTACTGTCAGACGTGGTTCTGGTACAGAGCTAAATTAGTTGCTGTCGGTTTAATCTTGTTGAGATTTACTTTTACGTGATGTTATGGTAGATCCAGAGCAGTTTTTATTCTGGTACTAATTTAGTTTCAGTACTAAGGTGTGAGCCTTCTGGGGGCTAACGCCGTCTGTATTAACAGTTCTTTCCATCATGGCTGGGCATAACAGGGATTGATCCCAGCCCCATGTGAGCTCCGGGAATGGTTTTAAGTCTACTGCTTTCCTCTGGATCTTTCCCTGGTGTTAGGTCAAGTTTTCGTAAGCCTGTGCAGGTCAGTACAGAGTCAAAAACTCCGTTTCTGTGGGGACCTGTCTTCAGTTCTTCGGGAATTCTGTTTCTGTGCAGCTCTCTTCTGTCCAGCCCTCTGCTATGCACACTCTGACTACTGGGCCTCTCGACTCCAAGCTCTGTCTCTGCAGTTCAGGGAGACTGGGGTTCTGTTTGTTTCCCTCTCCTGAACTGTTGCCTGGAAACTGTATTCAGGTGGTAAGCTGAAGCAATTTTTGTTTTGTTTTCAGTGTTTGAAAGTTTATTAAAATATTTTCTGAAAGTACATTTGGAGCATAAATCAAAGTTTGTAATCCAGGATCCTTTCTTGATAAGGGATTTTGAATGCTCTAGAAAACGAGTGTTTGGTTTTGGCTCTTTAACCTCATTTTGATCAAGTCTTATGTAGCTTTTCAGGCATGATGGAGCTATTTGCATTTGTTGAATATTTGGTAAAATATTTTGATTTATATGTTTATGAAGATGTTATTTAATGGAGCCTATTGATTTCGGAAGGTCAAATTACCTTTCAAGAATTTATGCATTCTTTTATAGGGCTCAAAATCTCCTTCACCAAGACCAAACATGCCTATTCGATACTTCATAATGAAGAGTAGCAATTTGAGAAACCTTGAAATTTCTCAACAGAAGGGTATCTGGTCTACAACCCCTAGTAATGAGCGGAAGCTAAATCGAGCCTTTTGGGAAAGCAGCATGGTTTACTTGGTATTTTCTGTTCAAGGATCTGGACATTTCCAGGTGAGCCATCCTGAACCAGTAAAATGGGGCTGTTCTGGCTGCACGTTAGACCACACAGATTAAAACAAAACCCAAAAACCACCCTGGCTTTTTATTGTATCGGGATGTAAGAATGCATTTTGCTTGACTGAGCATGAGGGATGTAGTGTTACCTCTTCAAGGGACTGACTCTAGGGATCCCGTTGTTTTCCTCGTCTTACCAGAACCTTTCTAGATAAGCCATGTCTCCTTCTGAGGACAAGTTCAGATTTACTATTTCTCAGGTGGATTGAGAGTAACGAGAAGCTTGACTTTTTGGTAAAATGTTTTTTTAAAGAGATAAGGAAGTTAGAATTGGTAATCCAGAAACTGAGTGTGTTTCTTAACTCCTCTTGACTTGATGTCCATCTGAATTTAGAAACTAAGGAATTTATTATTTGATATTATTATAATTTTTGGAAGTAAAAACTATTAGGTTAGATTATATCTGTTTATCATGGAATAAGTGTGGGTTTAGGGCTGTTAATACATTATTTAGAAAGTATCTGTTCATACTGAAATTATGTTAGAAGGCTGGAATCAGTCTTCCCTCTAAAATTTGCGAATACTTCTTTTTATGAAAAACAGTAAGTAATTTATGTTTTTGTGAGGTATCTATTATTTTTATATTACATTTTTACCTTAAAATTTAAAAAACCTCAGAGCTTTCTCAGATAAATTGAATTCAGACAATTTTAATATCATCCTCACCTTTCCCCTTGCCCTCATTTTACCCGCAGGGATTTTCTAGGATGTCTTCTGAGATAGGAAGGGAGAAGAGCCAGGACTGGGGCTCAGCTGGACTGGGAGGAGTATTTAAGGTGGAGTGGGTCCGGAAGGAAAGTCTTCCCTTTCAGTTTGCTCACCACTTACTCAATCCCTGGAACGACAACAAGAAAGTCCAGATCAGCAGAGACGGGCAGGTATACAGTGGCATTTAATATTTGTCTTCTGCTTTTCTTTTTGTTTTGCTTTGCTGTTATTCGGTGGTTTGAGGAGGAGACATAAGAATACAGAATGTGTGTTCCATATGCACACAGGAGATGGTTCCGACGTGTGGAAGAGCTAGTGAACACCTGCTTGCACAGGTGTTTGACAGAGCTCGTGGCTTTTTTTAACATTTTGTAACCTGGGCTTCTCTCTGCCATTACATACATATAAAATCTTTCATAAGTTACTTCACGGAGGCTCCTATTGCCTTACTAATGGGAGATTTGCTAAAAACCGAGTGTAATTCTGAAGTAATTTCACCAAAGTCTAAGGATAACAACAGTATCTGACTTCTTTGTGCTTTAACTAATTATATGACATAGATAACAGCCTTTTTATATTTTTGTGGCTTGTTTTATTTCTATTGCATTTACTTGGGCTTTATCATGATAGCTGCTGACATGCATTTTGAACTAGTTAAGGAGATGGGAATTACCATATATATGGACCACAGTGCTAGCTGCTGTATATGAAGTAGTTTAATTCAATGCATGTTGAGTTATTAGCCCAGTTTTAGTCAGGAGAAACAGGAGAAATTGTTCTAAGGTCACACAGCTAATAATTTATTTAAACTAGTGTGACTTAGTTTTAAATCACCATACATAAAGTGTTTGGGTTCTCTTTAAATGCACATCATATCACAAGAGGACTATAAATGACATTCTTTTCAGTTGTATCAGAATATTTTAATTTTTATTCTAAAATAAGGATTTTGAAATAAGTCTAATTCCTAAGATAAGAATATCATATACTCTTGATGATTTCCTTAAAACCCCCAAACATCTAATATGCTAGGTTTCATAGTAAACCTTTGAAAGCTGAAGCTGAGTGCCGTTGGCAAATCCCCATTAAAAACGAAATTCACTATTTCCAGATAGAAGTTCCAGGAGAACTTGGTGGAAATTACCATTTTTTCACACATTGTTGCCATATTTGCAGGCTAACTCTAATCTTGAAGTCTGGAAGTGAACTTCACAGACCTGAACACAGAGAATCCCAGAGCAATACATACCATGTGATTTTATTATGTCCTGGTAGGAAAATGAAATTGAATGGACTTGTCCCACATTTTTATCAGCATAGGTTTTGGTGATTTAAAAAATTCAGTCTAGTTCCTTTCGTGTTTATTCTGACTTCTGCTTTATCTAGGAACTAGAGCCTCAGGTTGGCGAACAGTTGCTGCAGCTATGGGAACGCCTTCCCCTGGGAGACAAAACCGCAGCCGACTGACACTCAGGTTATCTGCTCCTTGACTTTTGAGTATTGGCAGTATTTGTGATCACTAAGGATATCTTTCAAATTATTTATCGTTTTTTTTTTTTTTAACTCGTTTAGAGCTCTTAGCTACAGGAGAACGCTGTACCGATTTAAAGCCACCGAATGCACTGACTTCTAAAAACCGAGGTGGAGATGTTTGTTAGGAGTGGATGGGCTTTTCTGGTTGAGAGTTTCTCTTAAGACCCACCATCTTCATAAAAAAGAGAAAAGGGTAATTTACATTTTTATAGTGATCGTAAAGAACGATTATGTCATGTTTGTTAATTATATGTTTATAAGTGAATAAAATAGTAGTAGTTTCATTGTTTGGCACAACAGCAGTTGTTTGAACCATACTTAATTTTGAAGTTAAACATTTCATTTGTTGAAAACACTGACCTATGACTCTTAATTGACCTATGATTTTTTTGTAATGCAAAGTAAATTGTTTTAAGAAAAAGTCCTGAATGTGTCAGTACACCCGAGCACCATTTTAGAACCATCAACTCTTAAGGTTTGTTGTTAAAAAATAAGCAAACAACCCAATTCTAAAAATGCCCCTTTTGAAAATAGTGTGTGCTGATTAAGGACTATTCACTCTGCCATTTTAAACCTGAGATACATGAAGAAAAACGGAAAGATGTTCTTTTTCTTTGATTATGAAGTGCAGTAACATCTGAAGGAAATGGGAGAGTTCCTCACTCCTTGTCTTTGCTCAGATCAGATTTAGTGCTTAGTCTTATTCCTGGTCCTCCTGCCTCTTAGCCCAGTGTGCTGCACACCTGTCTCTTCCTCCTGTGTTACAGCCTTCACACCTCTCTCACGTGAGTGCTGTAATTATGTCCTCTTCGTTTTGGCTAGAGAAGCTTGATTTAGACAAGTTAAAAATGGAAACAAATGAAACATGTTAAAAAAAAAAGTGCCCAATAATTAGTGAGAGCTTGGTTGGTGTATGTCTTTCAAACTAAGGTCCCCAGCACCACAATTCTGAACGCCTTCTATTTGTTTTCTAGTACTTTCCATCCTACTTACATTTTTGGATTTCTTATTTTTTTGCATTTATGGCTTAATAAATGGGGGGTAATTTTTTAAAAACCTGTGTAGTGCCAACTCTCCTCTATTTTTTTTTTTTTTTTGTCATCTCAGGATTATTTGATAACTTTACCACCACTGTCTATAATATAGTTTCCCCAGAGGCTTTTTGAAGGGAAATAAGGTACAGGGAGAAATTAAAGAAATGTCTTGGTTATTGAGCTCTAAATAGAGCAGCTTTGATAGCACGTCTCATGATATATTTGGGTTATTGCTGCGTGAAGAAAAACCGGCCTGAATCTAATTTAAAGACAAGAAGACAACTCCTCTAAGTTTTTTGCTTCTGCATTTGAGAACAAAGAAGTGAAAAGTTAGGGTCACCATAAGATCTTGAAAATCCTCCTTTCTCTTGGAAAGCGTTGTATGTTGGCATAGTAGCTTAGAATGGCAGCTGTGATTTTTTGCCTATTTTTGCCTTTTTGTAGTTACTGGTTTTTGTTTGTTTTATACTTTTAGAGATACACCTGTAAATTGAGCCTGTGTGAATTATGTTCTGCTGTATGTATATTACAGTCTTTTCCTATTACAGAAACTTGTGTTTTTTCTGATAATGTATATATACTTTGTTGAGTTATATATTTAGCAGTTTACGGTGTTCTAAATTTGGAAGTGAGGACTTTTAAAAAAAATAAAACTTGTTTTAATTTCCTTCTGTTTTCTAATATCTAGCTCTGTATGTAAATGATGGGTTTGTTGATATTTAAAATGAACACAATTTAAATGTAATTAAAATGCTGTTTTTGGAAGAGATGAACTTTAAATACACTCATTAAATGAAATTCTGTTAAAATATCTAGATCTTGTTATTTCTGACCCTCCGTAATAGGGCTAAGGTAAAAATGACCAATAATACCCCTTGAGATATTAGGGAATTTCAAATACCTTGAAGAATACTAAATTGATAGAGAAGGTGATGATTTCATATCAGAATCTCCTCATTGAAAAAATTTGCCTTATTACCATAAGGAAAGGAAAAAAAACTCAAGACACATGTTCAATAGGAAATCTTTTAAATGTGTTCCCTGTCAGGACACTGGATCTTGGTAATGTGCTCTTCTATCCACTGCACACCCCAGCCTTATTCTACCAATTACAGCAAAGCTTGCCAGCGAGGGAAGCACAGTCTCAAATGTGTACTTCGAGAAAAGACCAATTTATTTAAGACTTTGTCTTCAGAGACTCCTTCTTCACCATAGAAAGCCTTATTTCCTGCAACAGGGGAAGTCTGGAGGACCAAGTCAAATGAGCTTCACCTCTGCGTCAACACCGGGGCACAAATCCTGCCCCTGAACTTGTCATTGACAGGTGATGACGCCTTCCTGTCTGAGCTTCCCACGGCACACATGCTCACTGTGCTCCAGAACCTTCCGCAGCTCCTCTCCACGCACAGGCCCACCACACAGTGCACTCACATCTGCCCAGAGCCCCTGGGCGTGCCTCGGTCTTTGTAGCCAAGGGTGAAATTTCCACTCGGCTGTCTCATAAAGTCACAAATGCTGCATATTGAAAATGGAACAACTGTTCTTTCCTACAGCCTGCTCCACCCAAAACTTCTCTCTTCAGTGGCCCCCGTTTCCATCACTTGTGGTTGCTCAAGGCCAGAAAACTTGTAGTCATCCCTGATGTCTTTCCTTCTCTCAGTCTCCTCCAGCAGAGAATCTTCTTGGGTCTACCTTCAAAATAGACCTAAACCCCAACTGTTTCTCCCCACATCTGTCACAACCACTCTGGACTAAGCCATAGTCCTCACCTGGGTTACCAAAATCGCTCCCAATCTGTTTTCCACACAGAAACCGGTGATCCTTTTATTATTTTATTATTTTTTAAGATTTTACTTAAATTTGACAGAGAGAAAGCACAAGCAGGGGAGCAGCAGAGGGAGAGGGAGAAGCAGGCTCTGTCCGTGGCAGGGAGCCCGATGCGGGGCTCGATCCCAGGACCCAGAGACCATGACCCGAGCCAAAGGCAGAGGCTTAACCCACTGAGCCACCCAGGCACCCCTCCTGGTGATCCTTTTAAAAGTTTGCATTACTTGGCTGCTCAGAACCCTGCAGTGGCCCCCCACTTCTCCCAGGAACCGAAGTCCTTCCTATGGCACCAACACGGCATGATCCAGTCCGCTGTTATATCTCTGGCTGTCTTCGCCTCTCCTCTGCTTACTCCACTCTAGCCACACCAGCCTCCCCACTGTTCCTTGAATATCCTAGGCCTGTTCCAGCCCAGAGACGTGAGTGAGCTGTTGACTCTGCCTGGAATGCTCTTCCCAGAATATCCGTGTGGCCAACTGGTTGTCACCATGTAGTGTTAACTCTGCTGTCAAGTTTTCTGTAAGGCTTATTTAACTTTTAGAAGTAACATACAGTAAAGCCAACTTTTTTTAGATGTGCAACTCTGAATTTTGACACCAACACAGATTTAGGAACTTCCACCTCCATTAGGAGCCTGTTCCATCACCCTTAAAACGTCCTCGTGCCACTTACCCCTGTGTAGTAACAGCTTCCTCTCACCGCTCATGCTGTCCCACCATAGATCTATTCTCTGACATGCTAGTTTTCTCCTTTTGAGAACGTCAGATAGGTAGAATCCTACAGTATATAACCGTGTGGGGCTGGCTTCTGTCACTCAGCATAAGGCCTTTGAGACTGATCCAGGCTGTGTATATCAAAGTCCATTTCCTATTGCTGCCAAGTAATATTCCATTGTATCGAATGTGCCACATTTTTTTGGAAGCCATTTACCTGTCGGTTATACACACGTGTGATTGTATTTGGAACAGCTAACCGTTTGTGCACAGGTTTTTGGGCAGAAATATGTTTCCGTTTGTTGAGCAAATAACCAGGACTGGAATCGCCAAATCATATGGTAAGTGTATGTTTTATAAGAAACTGCCGAACTATTATCCAGAGTGGCTCTACCAGTTTGCATCCCTATCAGCAATGCTTCAGAGTTCCAGCTGACAGCACTTAACTATGGTCAGTATCCTCTTTTTTCTCTTTTAAGTTGAAAATGCACATCAATTTTATGAAGTTGTTGCTAAATTCCACTGAAGAATAGTATAACTAACTAGTACTACAGAATGTGTGTTCTGCATGTTATTTTGTCGTATTTGGTACAATAACTTCATAAATATAAATACACTGTAATTGATTAGTTTAAACCGAGAGACCTGCTAGAGTTAATCCAGTGTATCTGTCGAAGAAGGATATGTTCATAACCTTTCTCCATTCCTTTTTATTAATTTTTTCATCATGATGAGTGTATTCCTTAATCCCCATCACCTGTTTCTCCCTTCTCCCACCACTTCCTTGCTGGTAACCATCAGTTTGTTCTCTGCAGTTTAAGAGTCTGTCTCTTGGTTTGTCTCTCTCTTATTTTCTTTGCTTGTGTGTCTTACTTCTTAAATTCCATATATGAATGAGATCATAAGGTATTTGTCTTTCTCTGGCTGGCTTATTTTGTTGTGTTTTATAGTCTTTAGCTCTATCCATGTTGTTGCCAATGGCAAGATTTCATTCTTTTTTATGTCAGAATAATGTTACCTTGTATATACATGCCCACTTTATCATCACCCATTCATCAATTGATGGATAGTTGGGCTGCTTCCATAATTTGGCTGTTTAAACAATACTGCAATAAACATAGGGCTGATGTATCCCTTTGAATTACTGTTGTTGTATTTTTTGGTTAAATAGCCATTAGTTGCAATGACTAGATCATAAGGTAGCTCTATTTTTAATTTTTTGAGGAAACTCCATCCTGTTTTCCAGAGTGGCTGCACCAGTTTGCATTCCCACCAACGGTGCATGAGGGTTCCTTTTTCTCCACATCCTCGCCAACATCTGTTGTTTCCTGTGTTTTTTATTTTAGCTTTTCTATTGTCAATATCTTTTGTTTTTATCATTCTTTTAGATGTGCAGTAGGATCTGATCATGGTTTTAGGTTGTAGCTCTCTAATGTCTCCTAATGTTGCTCATCTGTTCATGGGCTTGTTTTTGTTTTTGTTTTTTTTAAGATTTTATTTATTTATTTGACAGACAGAGATCACAAGCTGGCAGAGAGGCAGGCAGAGAGAGAGGAAGGGAAGCAGGTTCCCCTCTGAGCAGAGAGCCCGATGTGGGGCTCGATCCCAGGACTCTGGGATCATGACCCGAGCCGAAGGCAGAGGCTTTAACCCACTGCGCCACCCAGGCGCCCCTGTTCATGGGCTTGTTATGTCACTGTCTGTTCAGGCTGCTCTAACAAAATACTACAGACTTACACAGGCTTACAAACCACAGAAATTTGTTTCTGACAGTTCTGGAGTCTGGAAGTCCAAGATCAGGGTGTTGCCATGGTCAGGTTCTGGGGGTAGCCATCTTCTCAGTTGCGGACTGCTGGCTTCTCGTTGTGTCCTCGCATGGTGGAAGGGGACACAACATTTATCCTCTGGTGAAGTGTCTCTCCACGTGATCTGACCATTTTAAAATTAAATCCATTGTTCTCTTACTGTTGAGCTTTGAGAGTTCATTATATACATTACCCCCCCTTTATGTACATGGCTACATTCTAATACCCCCCCAAGGATGCCTGAAATCATGGATAGTGCTGAACCCTATATACTGTTTTTTTTTCTTTCCTCTATATACACACCCATGATAAAGTTTAATTTATAAATTAGGCATAGTAAGAGATGAACAGCAACTAATAAAATAGAACAGTTATGGGGCGTCTGGGTGGCTCAGTGGGTTAAGCCTCTGCCTTCAGCTCAGGTCGTGATCCCAGGGTCCTGGGATCGAGCCCGCATCGAGCTCTCTGCTCAGTGGGGAGCCTGCTTCCCTCTCTCTCTGTCTGCCTTTCTGCCTACTTGTGATCTCTGTCTGTCAAATAAATAAACTCTTTAAAAAAAAAAAAGAACAGTTATGACAATATACTGTATTAAAGGTCATGTGAATGTGGTTTATCTCAACATACCTTACTGTACTGTACTCACCCTGTGATCACGTGAGATGATGCGTACAT